AAATTAACCACAACATAATGCCCAAAAGAGCAAAAGAAAACAGGGCCAAAAAACCTAACTGCCCGGGACACACAAATAAAAGAACAAAAGAGAAGCCCACCCCCACAAGCCGACGACACAGGTGTAAATAGTGTTCTTGATGAGGCCTTCAGCCCCACCCACTACAACTCCACCTGTAATGGCACAGGCCCATTACACTAACATGGTAGTTTTTACACAGAAACTTTTACAATTTCTCAATGAGATTAAACAGATATTTGAAGCCTCTAAAGGACGTTACATTATTTACTTGAAGCTTGTGACCGACATATTAGCATATCGTTACTATATGAGAACAAAAAGCACCTCCTCAATGGTAGCTTTACAGGAGAGGGCAAAAACACTGAATAGACAATATAGTTCACCTTTTCTGTTTGAGTTTCACAGTGACTTTCCGCTTGTATTCATAGTCAGTGACATATCTAGAACTTCCAGAAGGTCTAGAGTAGTTTATGTTCTCGTGAAATTGGTCCTGTCTATTGGAAATCAAATGTGATTGGTTGATTCCTCCGTCACTTGATAATTATTCTGATGGTTAATCTAACATGTTAGGACTTCTCAGTAACACTTTCTATGAATGTCACCTTTGTAAGCATCTATAAACACATTCATAACATGTTATAATGCATTCATAAGACATTATAAACATAGCTATAAATATTTATAAAAATGCATTATACATTATAGCCATGTTTATTATGCATTATGAATTGTTAACATACTACATTATAAGTACTGATCATAACAAATTATAAGAGCTCATAAGTTGTATTTGTCCGCTCTAAGTAAAGTGAAGCGTACTGTACTAAAGCCTCCTCCAGTGTTAAGAGTGAGGCTTCAAGTTGAAGTATTTACTGAAGGATTTACTGAAACACTAAAACACACAATAAAGCACATTACAGGCTTCAAATGTCAGAGGTTAAACTAGTGCAGCCATCAGTGTTTTACCCAATGTGGGAAAGGTAATGTTCACCACCGTTAGCTTGGTATTTGTCTTTACTTTACGCTCTCCAAGCTGGGACTGACTTCTTTGGCACTGACATTATAACATGTTATTAACACTATTTATAATGCATTATATTACCAATTCATAATGTGGCTATAAAGTGTAATTCAGTGTAATTCTTTTTTATAAATATTTATAACCATGTGTATGATGCCTTATGAATACATTATAACATGTTATAAATGTGTTTATAGATGCTTACAAAGGTGACATTCATAGAAAGTGTTACCAACTCCTCTTCAGCTCCTGAAGTCATAACCAATAGGAGAGCTGGTTTAGCTACATCTACATAGATGTAGGAGAAAAACAAGTGATTGGTCAGTTTTCTGCTCGGTGTGTCAAGAATTTATGCCTTTTGTTTCCATCCACAACATTGAAACAAGAGTAGTATTGTAATCAAGGTGCAAAATACATGGGGTCCTGGGGGTTGAAAAACCTCTGAAAAACTTCACAACATGCCTTAGCATATTTTCAAATCTGCAAACTTGCCTGATTTTCACAAGATTTGGTGTAAAGAGTGAGTTGTTGCTCCTTTTTAGACCAAAGACATTAGAGGAGATGGGTAAGATCTCGGTTAATGAGTGGAAGAGCACATTAACAAACCAGAAAAGAGCATTTCCAGTTGTTATACCAACATTTTTTGGTGCCCTTGAAGCTAGCATGAGCGCCGCTAAGCTGAGTAAGTTAGCAATTAGCCAGCACTGGAGTAGCCAGCCAACATGGGACCCCCAAAAACCAAAGAGTATTCCACAAACTCACTGTAACACTTGCAGTGTTTAAACAGAAGCTCTGGTCAAATGGCAAATTCGTTAATGAGCAAAAGTCCAAACTCTCCATTCTTCTCATGTGAGCCAACTTGAGACCCCAAAACCCAGTATTTCACAGAGTATTTCACACATTGACTGTAATACTTGCAGAGTTTAAACACAAGCATGATTTTATTGAATAAAAATGAACTAAAAATTACAGCCATGTATTTTTAGTTCCCAGAAATCATTAGGCCTTCTCTGAAGACCTAGCAGGCCCTGAGGGCTCCCCTCTGGTATCTTCCCACTGATTTTTCATCGTATCCAGGTTATTTTTGTATTATTCCAAGATGCATTCATGTAATTGGGTTTAATCATGTATTATAAGGTCATGTATTAAGATTAACAAGGATTTATAATACATATTAATGAAAATGTGCCAAAGATACACCCCCACATTGTTCTAAAACAACTCCACTAAACTCTGTAAAAATCCTTCTCAATCTCGTCCACAGTTGTTCTGCTTCACAGATTCTTTCTGCTCCGGTCAAATAGCGAACTCATTAAAGTCCAAACTCTCCGTTCTTCTCCTCTGAGAAAAGCCTTCAAACCAGATCGTGGTTCTTTTTGTGAATTATTCAGTGATGCCTTCCAGCTCTGCTAGAACCGATAGCACAGCAGCGTTAATGCTAAGCTCAGATGCTTTGGCCTTTTTATACTTCAAATAGAATCATCAGCTGTAGTTCATCAAAACACGCTGAGAAGTCCAGCTCAAAAATGACCAGAGGAACGTTAGGCCAGAATCTGACTGAATCCACTGAGCATAACCTCATAAATGCTCAACATGGGTTTCTTAAGTTTTCCTTAAGGCCAAAACAGTCATGAAGAACACTGTGGATAAAATACTGCATTATGTATGACGAGAGCCGGTTTATGAGGAGCGTGGCCTCTTCCTATTTCCCCCGTAACATTAAAAACAGGAAAGTGAAACACCAGAGGGCGCCCACGAGCGAGTCCTCAATTAATGAGGTAAATGGAGCTAAACGGCTAAAAGCAAAAAGTTAAACTTGTTTCTAATCACTCGGCCAGTCGAACACTGAAAACACATGACACAGAAGTTAGTTTCTCATTCGCCAGCTTCTTGTTTGAATTTTCCCGTTCCACCTTAAATGGTGCAGCAGTTACATTCTCACGCCGCAGGCACCATTTAAGGTGGAACGGGAAAATTCGAACGAGAAGCTGGAGAATGAGAAGTGACTTCAGCCTCGTAAAAAGAAAAACATTGAGAGACAAGAAACAGTTCTACTTTTGTGGAAAGGTTTCCAGCTGGTGATGCAAGAAAAGCAGCTACAGCTGAGCTAAAGCTTAAAGCAGAGCGAAGTAGGTCTGCATTTTTGTTTGTATTATATTTTTAGCCTGTTCTAGAACATCAGCACATACTGAGACACATGTACAGCCAAGATGGTAAAATGGACTCAAAATGCTGTGGCTCCCAAGATGGTTTGAATTTTGCTGTACTATTTACACCCAAATAGTACCAGCTCTGTGAGGGTCCATGGGGGTCCTGACCACTGAAGAACAGAGTAAAAGGGGGCTAACAAAGTATGCAGAGAAACAGATGGACTACAGTCTGTAACTGTAGAACTACAAAGTGCACCTATATAGTAAGTGGAGCTGATAAAATGGACAATGAGCATAGAAACAAGGAGGTGGTCATAATGTTATGCCTGATCGGTGTATTTTTCTCAAATGCACCATATTAACCCATTCATTTTAGACTTGCCCAGGAGCGCCCTCTAGCGTTAGAGAAACCCGGGAGACACTACAGAGTTGTAATTCTCCTCTCTACAGGTTCTCCGGTACAACGACACACAGCAGCACCACAGTAACACTCAAATTAAGCAGAGTTATGAGTTTTTGTATTAGTTATAAATATCAGTATTAGATATCTAACAGACAATAATAGACTATATACCTCATGTACAAGTGAGCAGTTTGTAGTAAGTAAAGCTATCAGTATAGTATCTTCACTGATCTTCACTGATACCACTGTGATAAAAGGAGCTTTGATTAGGCCCTTAAAAGGCCAGAGTGGGCCCAAAGTTTTATTACACACTTCTATAACTGAAGAATGGCTCAGCCAGTTTGCATTGAAGTCCCTGTAGTAACTGAATAATAAGCCTTAATATGTAATAAGCCTGGATTTTAAGGGGTTAAAGGGCTCAGATTTATGATTCATACATTTTTCTTCTATTGTATTTTTATTCCTTGAGGTTCAGTTAAGTACCAGAAATAGTCACACTTAATTTCTACATGGCCATAAATAAATAAGCTCCATTCTGATTGGCTGCCTCATATTGTGCCTTGTTCAAACAGCTGTCTGGGATGAATCACTCCTTATAACTTCACTGTGAATGGGCGCAGCTCAAGTAGTATAGGCTGAACAAGTGGATAATAATATTAATAATAATAATAATAATAATAATAGTAATAATACATTTATTTATAGAGCACTTTTCATGCAGGTATCATCTCAAAGTGCTTTACAGGTGATACATTAATTATAGTCATTCAGTAATAAAAGAAAATATAGTCGACCAAATGAAAGTAAAGCGTTAATTCAAATAAACTGAAACAATAACAGTTTTTTTAAAATAAGACACACTTAAAAAGGTGAAAATGTTGTTTTATGACATCACAAAAAGTAATAAATTGCAAATAAGCTTAGTTTCATTTGCAGAGAAACACAAATACAGCAATTTTATCCAAAACTACCAGTGAACCTACATGCAGTTTTATATGTAATGTTGATGATAAAATAGTCATAAATCGGAAATAATGTTTTTTTTTTTTTGGAGACTATTTGCCTTATAACACCCTGCATGTACCAAAACTTTGTCACAAAACTATACTAAAACAAGGCCTCAGACATCAGGCAGTGAATTCATGACCATTTCATGTAGTAACTTTCTGTGAGGGAGCTTTTAGAGGTGGACGTCTGGTTCCTATCACCTACACTGTGAACAGTCATGACTTCACACATTTCACATCAAAACACTCTGAGCGACTCTGTTTACATCTTTACCATTTAATTATGCAGAGAATATTTAAAAATCGGTGGAGTTTCCCTTTAATTACGCGTAGCTTCCTCACTGTAGGTGGCAGTGGAGTCCCGGCGGACGTCACACTGTAAGAGTAGAAGAAGAGCAGCAGCAACAACAACACATGAGGCTAACCGGGCTAAAGCTAAAGCTAATCTTTTACCCTCTCAAGGTCGTTTAATCGCGCTTTCGGTTCAGGATTATGAACGGTTTTGATTTATCATCTTAAATAAGTTTATAAACACGTTCATATTCCGAACAGACGAAGCTGAAGTCAGCGTCTTTTTCTAATTCTCCCGGTCCACCTTAAATAGCGCCGCGTTACATTCTGGCGCATGAAGCGTTCTATTAATAACTGCTGCGCTATTTAAGGTGGAACGGGAGAATTAGAATAAGAAGTTGGCGAATAGGAGGCCAACTTTAGCCTCGTGATTAACAGCGTGTAGGGGCGAATCTGAGGGCTGATTAAAGGTTAATAAAAGCTCGGTGTTGTTATTATAGCGGGTTATAAGCAGGTTATAGCTGTGTGTTGATAATTCAGGTTAGCTGTGATGCTGAGAGCCGCTCTGCGCTGCGGGCTGACCGGCGCTGCTCTCCGGGTCTCGGGGAGCTCGGTGAGTCCTCCTCTCCGGGTCTCGGGGAGCTCGGTGAGTCCTCCTTTCCTCCTCTCGGGGAGCTCGGTGAGTCCTCCTCTCCTCCTCCGGAGACAGCTCTGCACCTCCACACCTTCACCAGCCGCTCCCACTCAGCCCGGGGAGGAGGAGCGGTTCGGAGACTACTGCTCCGACTTCTCCTCTAGGACGAGCTTCCGCAGAGCCAGTCCGGAGCAGCAGGAGCTGAGCTATCAGAGAGCCGGAGAGGAGGAGCAGCAGCAGGAGGAGGAGGAGAAGAAGATCAGGAGCTTCAGGACCAGGACAGGCCGCAGGAACACGGCGTACTGGTACTTCCTCCAGTGCAAGAGGCTCATCAGAGAGAACAGAGTGAGTCTGTGAGAGAGAGAGAGAGAGAGAGAGAGAGAGAGCAGAGAGAGAGAGAGAGAACAGTGAGTCTGTGAGAGAGAGAGAGAGAGAACAGAGTGAGTCTGAGAGAGAGAGAGAACAGAGAAAGTCTGAGAGAGAACAGAGTGAGTCTGAGATACTGAGAAAGAGAGAGAGAACAGAGTGAGTCTGAGAGAGAGAGAACAGAGAGAGTCTGAGAGAGAGAGAACAGAGGGAGTCTGAGAGAGAGAGAACAGAGGGAGTCTGACAGAGAGGTAAAGAAAGAGAGAGAGTCAAGTCAAGAGGCTTTTGTTGTCGTTCCATCTGTGCACCAGTACACAGTGGAGTGAAGTTGGGTTCCTCCAGGACCGACACGGTGCAGCATGGAACCAAACAGACAGTACAAAGTGTGAACGTGCAGACGTGAGTGTGCAAAACATTGAACTAGAACCAGTACAGTGAATACGACACATACAGCAGACGTTAGACACGGTGAACAGACAGGACAGTGCAGCACCGACAGCACTCACTGCTGGACACGAGGTAGTGGAATGGAGCGCAAAGATGAAGTGAACTGAATGAGAATCAGAACTGGAGAGCTGATTTATGTTCCTGGTCTCACTCTTTCTTTCTTTTGCTCTTTCTATCATTCTTTATTTTCTTTCTGTCTCTTTCTTTTTTCTTTCTACTGTTCTCTTTGATTCTCTCCTGCTCTCTGTCTCTCTTTAATATTCTCTCTTGCTCTCTCTCTCTCTCTGTCTGTGTATCTCTCTCTCTCTGTGTATCTCTCTCTCTGTATCTCTCCCTCTCTCTCTGTATTTCTCCCTTTCTGTATCTCTCTCTCTCTCTCTCTCTCTCTCTCTCTCTCTGTATCTCTCTCTCTCTCTCTCTCTGCAGCTGGCTGAGGCGCTGCAGCTGTTTGAGGCTGATATGCTGAAGGGTGAGCGGCTGCAGCCTGAGGAGTTTAATTACTCTGTCCTGATTGGAGGATGTGGACGAGCCGGTTACGTCAGAAAGGCCTTTCAGCTCTACAACAACGTGAGAAACTCAGACACGCACAGAGACTCCTCCCCCTCGCGCTGTGGCCACTCCTCCCCCTTATGGCCACTCCTCCCCTTTATACACATCAGGCTCTGTTTATTACACTGGAGTTAATGAGGCTTCGTTTGTATCAGTACTGAACATGCTGAACTACACAAAACACCAGCGTCCTGTTTGTATCATCACACTTCACACGCAGAAGACTGAGCAGTTGCTATGGTATCCCAGGTGGTTGCTAGGATTGTTGTGGTATCCCAGGTGGTTGCTGGTTGGTTGCTCTGTCAGAGCTATTTTTATATCTAGGTGGTTACTACAGTGTGGCTTGGCTGTTGCTCTGGTATCCCACGTGGTTGCTCAGGTGTTGTCACTTTGTTGCTATCGTATCCCAGGTGCTTGCTAGAGTGTTGCTAGGTGGTTGCTATGTTATTCTGTTTGGTTGCTCTGTCATAGCTATGTTATCTCAAATGATTGCTATTGTGTTGCTGGGTGGGTGCTCAGTGGTTACTAGTGTGTTGCTAGGTGAACGCTATGGTATCCCAGGTGGTTGCTCAGGTGTTGCTAGATTCTTGTTGTTGTATCCCAAGTGGTTGCTGAGGTGTTGCCCCTTGATTACTGTGGTATCCCAAGTGGTTGCAAAGGTGTTGCTGCTTGGTTGCTGTGGTAAATTATTGCTAGTGTGTTGCTAGGTGGTTACTATTGTATTCCAAGTGCTTGCTCTGTCATAGCTATGTTATCCCAAATGATTGCTAGTGTGTTGCTAGATGGACACTGTAGTATACTAGGTGGTTGCAAAGGTGTTGCTATGTGGATGATATGGTATTTCAAGTGGTTGTTGGGGTGTTGCTAGGTGGTTGCTGTGGTATCCTAGGTGGTTGCTACGGTGTTGCTAGGTGGTTACTACAGTGTAGCCTGGCTGTTGCTCTAGTATCTCAGGTGGTTGCTCAAGTGTTGCTAGATTCTTGCTATTGTATCCCAAGTGGTTGCAAAGGTGTTGCCACTTGGTTGCTATGGTATCCCAAATGATTGCTAGTGTGTTGCTAGGTGGTTACTATTGTATTCCAAGTGGTTGCTCTGTCATAGCTATGTTATCCCAAATGATTGCTAGTTTGTTGCTGGGTGGATGCTAGGGTGTTGCTAGTGGACGCTGTGGTATCCCATGTGGTTGCTCAGGTGTTGCTAGATTCTTGTTATTGTTTTCCAAGTGATTGCTAAGGTGTTGCCCCTTGATTACTGTGGTATCCCAGGTGGTTGCTAGAGTGTTGCTAGGTGGTTGCTAGGTTATTCTGGTTGGTTGGTCTGTCATAGCTATGTTATCCCAAATGATTGCTAGTGTGTTGCTAGGTGGATGCTAGGGTGTTGCTAGGTGGATGCTGTGGTGTCCCAGGTGGTTGCAGATGTGTTGCTAGGTGGTTACTGTGGTATTCCAAGTGGTTGTTGGGGTGTTGCTAGGTGGATGCTGTGGTATTTTAGGTGGTTGCTACGGTGTTGCTAGGTGGTTACTACAGTGTAGCATGGCTGTTGCTCTGGTATCCCAGGTGGCTGCTCAGATGTTGCTAAATTCTGGCTGTTGTATCCCAAGTGGTTGCAAAGGTGTTGCCACTTGGTTGCTATGGTATCCAAAATGATTGCTAGTGTGTTGCTAGGTGGTTACTGTTGTATACCAAGCGGTTGCTAACATTTGCAGTTTGTATTATAATGTAAGTGGAGTGCACAAACTGTTGCATGCACAATTCTGCCGTTGTTTTCCTAAGGGGGGAAAGTCAGGAAAAACAAGAAGAAAAAAGAATATAAATCAGATAGTAGTGTTGGGTATTGCTATGTAATCGCTAATAAACAAAAAAATCTGAATGATGGAAATGTTCTTATTGACAAAGAAGTAGTTGATGTTCACTAAAAATGAAGTGAGGGTGTAAAATTACTGTTTGCTCTTTAGCCTTTTCTAGAAATCTCATTCAAATATGGTATTAATTTAAGGCGGTCACAAAACCCAGCAAGCTTAAAAGTTAAATTGTGTTCATGTCGGAAATGTTCATGTTTGTCTTAAACTGCTGTGGTTTTTAAACAGGCTGTGCGTTTCACCGCTATCATATTGTAGGAACATTTCAGTGATGTTAAGTAACTCAGCTAAATGTTGTTCCTCAGATGAAGAAGCGAGGCTTAGAGCCGTCCGACGCCACCTACACCGCCCTGTTCAACGCCTGTGCGCAGTCGCCATGGAAACAGTCAGGCCTGGAGCAGGCGCTGAAGCTGCGTCAGGAACTGCGCCGGAAGAACGTTCTACTCAATGCCATCACCCATCACGCACTGCTGAAAACCGTGGCCCTGTCCGGCGACCTGAAGGCTTGCTTTCAAGTGTTAAGGGTACCGAACGTGAGATTCTGTTTCTGTGAGATACAAAGAGTCGTTTCTGTAGATTTAACTTTCTGTCACTGTGTGTTTTTAGGACATGCTTCAAAGTGGACAGGCCATCACGCAGGAGACGTTTCAGTACCTGCTGATGTGCTGTGTGGAGGACAAGCAGCAGGGCTTCAGACTGGCGTTACAGGTACGTACACGTACTTTAAAGTTTAGAAAAGGCTGCAATCACTGTTTTCAACAACATAAACCCACTTGGTTGCAGATACATGTATAACATGCTAGTCTTGCATGACCTCACAGATTTTGACTCATTATTTTGTGATGTCATGAACACAAATACATTTTTGTATATCCATCAATTCAGTCTGCAGTAGTTTAGCTCTGGACTTCAAGGGAGAAGCAAAATACAAGAACCTTTATAGACCCTTAAATAACAATGTTGCTTTCTATATACTTGAAATATTAAATCAAATAAATAAAGTTTATAAAATATTAGTAAACACTAATATTATTGTTATCTGACAGTTTATCTAATACGAATGAATGGCGGATCTTTGGGCAAGAGTTTGTACGTCCCACTTATATCACGATTATGCACATACTCCAGCAGCACCCTGTTAACCATGTGGGATACCATGGCAACCACATAGCAACCAAGCTACCAGAGTAACACCTTAGCAATCACCTAACAGCACCTTATTAACCATTAGAGGTACCCTGGCAAGCCCCTGGTATACTAAAGCCAACACCTAGCAACACCCTTGTAACCTTGTAAGAAGTTGCTATGGAATTACCATAGCAACCACTTAGCAACATTTTCTCAACCATGCAGGAAACCATTGCAACCTTCTAGCAACACCTAAGCAACCACCTGGGATACTACTGCAACCACCTAGCAACCACCCAGCAACCCATGTAGCAGTACCCTAGTAACCACCTGGGATGCGACAGTAACACCTTAGCAACCACCTAACAACACTCTAGCAACCATCTGAAATACCATAGCAACCACCTAGCAACACTTTATCAGAGATACCCTAGCAACCCCCTGGGGAAACCACTTCAACACCCAAGCAATTACTTAAAATAACATAGTAACCAACTGGCAACCCCCTAGCAACTGCTTGGGAATTGCATAAGCTGCACAATTACTCTGCACTTTCTTCAGCAAGTGAGCTTTTCTAGCTGTTTACAATAAAATATTGATGAAAAGTGATTCGAAACTTTCCAGACAGTTCTGAAAACTGTCTGACTCAGAGAAGATAATCACTTTAGAGACTCACGCTGGTTTATTCTGCAGGTGTGGCACCAGATGCTCAGCGCTGGCATAAAACCAGATCTGCAGAATTACAACATCCTCCTGCGTGCCGCAAGGGATTGTGGGATAGGTGACCCTGCCGTGGCTTCTGCGTTGCTCCTCAGGGGGCGAGAGGAGTCCGGCCCCAAAGTCACGGCTCAGAGGAGACGACAGCGATCAAAGGTCAGAGAAGAGACGCCACATTCTAAGCCTTTAGACGTGGACTCCTTTGAGAGCCGCCTGTTAGCGTTGCCGGCTCACTCCAGCGCACCGGACACGCGCTCAGACGGCCAGTCACAGTCCAGAGACGACACTTTGGACCTCTCTGAGGCGGAGAGCCTGAGGAGAAACGACAGAAACACTCAGAGAGTGGACGAGACCTCAAACTTGACCGAACAAACTCAACTGCTGACTCTGTCCTCAAGAAATGACCTTCTGTCTGCTCCACCAACATCCACGACCCAAAACTCCCACCTTCCAAACCTGCTGGACCCAAGCACCTTCCGCTCAGACGTGGTTGCCTTGGGAACGGTGAGCACCACGTCTGATAGGCTGGCGCTGATGGGCAATCTGGAGGGCTTCTTGGGTAAAATGGCAAACAATGGACTGAAGCCCACCATCAAAACGATCACGCTGCTGGCGGACGTCATGGAGCCCAGCAGCCAGTCGATTCAGAGCCTGATCTCTGTGGCCGCTGAGAGCGGGGTGAAGCTGGACGTGGCTTTTTTTAACACTCTGATCCGGAAGGCGGCTAAAGCAGGAGATCTGGGAGGAGCAAAGGTCAGTCAGTCATTTTATCATGGTTTATATGGAGCATCGTAAAAGGCATTGATCTGATGGTGATGATACAATTACACTGATGTTGAAAATAAACATCAGTACAGTGGAATCACATGGAATAATTAGTATGACATCTCTGGGATAACTATCTCTCTCTTTCTCTTTTCCTCTCTCTCTTTCTCTCAGGCTGTGAAGGTCCTGATGGCTGAGAGGAAGCTGCCTGCAAATGCTCAGACGTTCTGCGGTATCGCTCTGGCCTGCAGCAGACAGAAAGACGGACTTCAGCTTCTCTCAGACATGGAGGTTTGATTTTCTCATGTTATTAATCATTTTCATATAATGTGACAATCATGTAAATCTACTGTAAACACTGTTTTCTAAAGTCACTCATTTTCTGGGCAAAATAAAATTAGTCTTGGGCTATTTTAGAAGGACAATCATGTCAACTGACCATTAAAGGCCTCAGGGTACTTCTCGCGAAACTAAATTCTTGAGGGATGTGCGAAGCCGAAAGCTCGCATACTTTCTGCAGTTTCGTGTTGCCTGTTGCTGATGCTCCACGTGACGCTATGACATTTTCTGGTAAGTTTCATGACTGCTGGAAAACAGTTCTTTCACTGTTCTAACTATGGCGACGTTTTGAGTTCAGAATACCGCCACCATTTAAGGTGGACAGTAACAAAATAGATGTAATTCGTTACTGTATTAAAGTAGTTTTTTCGTGTATCTGTACTTTACTGAAGTATTTCCATTTTGGGCGACTTTTTACTTTCACTCCTCCACATTTCAGTGTCTAATATCTCACTTTTTACTCCACTACATTATGAGAAATCTGTCGTTCCTTTTGGTTTATGTGTCTATAAAAACGTAACCTGTCAAAACGAAAGAAGCGGAAAGCAAGAACACCAATCAGGGCACAGCGCGCACTTTGTTTTGAGCTTGTTTTGACCTGTTGGAACTAACCTAACTTTGTGTAAATAGACCACAATATAGAAATATGTACACATATGCAGTTTTGACTGACGTGTCTTTATTCTGAATTTATGCAAACACATTTCATTTTATAGTAAATATGTTTTTTGCTAGTTTATGATTAGAAACCAAAAGATGCAATATTGTAAAGGAAAACTCATTTGTGAATCTGAGTTTAAAGTTTTTATTAAACTTAAACTTGTAACTAAGTTACAAATAAATCTTAAACTAAAACTTTGCTTGTCTGCAAAAAGTTATTTCAGAGCCACTCAGTTCTACCTAATGGAAACTGTTTGCCTTCAGTGTTTTGTGTTTATGATCATTTTAATAGACATCAGCGTCAGAATAATGAATGACATTCTATTAAAAGACTGGTTTACCAAGAGTGACACTGGAGTATTTTCACCTAAAATGAGTCAATGAAGCAGGACATTAGAGCCATAATTAATCTTTTAGTACTTTTACTTTCGAAAGCAAGTACTTTTGTACTTTTACTCAAGTGGAGGTCTAAAGGGAGGAACTTCTACTTTTACTGGAGCAATATTTTAGCTTGGGTATCTCTACTTTAACTCAAGGACATGGTTTGTGTACTTCATCCACCACTGAAAGAAGAACACGAAGCTGGTGAATAGAAAGCCAACTTCAGCCTCGTCCTCTTGTGAACCTAAATATAAGATAACCTGTATGTTTTGGTGCTCAGTACTAGTTAGTACTACCGAATAACAGACTTAATATCTTACATTTAGGAGGTTTTCATTGTTTATTTAACAAATGCGCGTTTCACAGTGAAATACTATTGTCTGCCAAAACCAAAGCTCCTCAAAGTTGTCCATCTTTGTTTAATGGCATGCCCCTTTTACCTACCAATCAGAGGCTTTGCTGTGTAGTGTACACAGAGTTCGCCCAGCTGCCATGTGTGTGACAAGCAGTTGTTCGTTTTCTCCGCAATTACGTCATATTGTTCGCTGAAGCCAGTGACCGTTATCTCCACAAGAAGTCTGCTGTGGCCTTAACACTAGCATTGATCTGAAGGTGGTGACTCAACTGTTTTGAGTTTGGAATGATAATCTATTAAAGAAATACGTAAACAAAATTCAAAATCCAAATTCAAAACAAAAATTTGAGCTTTTTTCAAACCTAAACTTCCAATAAAACAAACAAAAATACATCAGGTATTATTTGTGTTGTATGTAATACATCTTTTTAGATGGTTTCTTTACTCATACCTGCGCATTCAGCATATTTTTATTTTAGTAAAATAATTCTGAAGATATTCTGAATAATTTTGAAAAATAATCAAATAACTCTGAAAATTATTTTCATATCGGCCTGACCAATAAACACAAAGTGTGATTTAAGCTTTGTGGCTGAGCTGTTGTTTTTCCTAGATGCTTCTTTTTAACAAGCACTTACAGTTGGCTAGGGCAGATCTAGCAGGGCAGAGATTTGTTTTATATTCGTATTTTGTGTTTTGACTTCATTCTCCATTAATTACAGTTAGAGTGCTTTACTGAAATGGTGGCCAGTTCTTAATTGTCACATTTAACATACATTATTAATGTAAATATTGTAGCACTGGTGAGTGGAGCTACACAGAATTCTGTTAATTAGTCTTCATTAATTCTTGTCATAAAAAGAGACGCATTTTGTCCTCACAATAAAGTGAGTCCAGAACAGTTGTCTCATCTTCAGTGATATTCATGATTTTCAGTATTGATCGTTGAACATCTGTGGTTTTATTGGTTTTTGATTTCCAGTGTTTACCTGATGTAATGATGCAGTATTTCGGTGTGGGTTGTTTGTGCTGATTGTTTGCAGGCGTGTGGCATTAAGCCCAACGTTCATGTGTTCAGCACTCTGATAAGCCAGGCGACCAGGCGTTTGGACTACGCGTACTTACACGAACTGCTGAAACAAATGCACCGACTGCAGGTTCCTCCCAACGAGGTCATCATCCAGCAGCTCGAGTTCGCAGCGCAGTATCCCCCCAACTATGACCAGGTCAGTTACTCTGTCTCTCTCACACACATACACTGATCAGCCATAACATTATGACCACCTCCTTGTTTCTACACTCATTGTCCATTTTATCAGCTCCACTTACTATATAGGTGCACTTTGTAGTTCTACAGTTACAGACTGTAGTCCATCTGTTTCTCTGCATACTTTGTTAGCCCCCTTTTACCCTGTTCTTCAGTGGTCAGGACCCCCATGGACCCTCACAGAGCAGGTACTATTTGGGTGGTGGATCATTCTCAGCACTGCAGTAACACTGACGTGGTGGTGGTGTGTTAGTGTGTGTTGTGCTGGTCTGAGTGGATCAGACACAGCAGTGCTGCTGGAGTTTTTAAACACCTCAGTGTCACTGCTGGACTGAGAATAGTCCACCAACCGAAAACATCCAGCCAACAGCGTCCTGTGACCACTGATGAAGGTCTAGAGGACGACCAACACAAACTGTGCAGCAGCAGATGAGCTATCGTCTCTGACTTTACATCTACAAGGTGGACTGACGAGGTAGGAGTGTCTAATAGAGTGGACAGTGAGTGGACACAGTGTTTAAAAACTCCAGCAGCACTGCTGTGTCTGATCCACTCAGACCAGCACAACACACACTAACACACCACCACCACGTCAGTGTTACTGCAGTGCTGAGAATGATCCACCACCCAAACAGTACCTGCTCTGTGAGGGTCCATGGGGGTCCTGACCACTGAAGAACAGGGTAAAAGGGGGCTAACAAAGTATGCAGAGAAACAGATGGACTACAGTCTGTAACTGTAGAACTACAAAGTGCACCTATATAGTAAGTGGAGCTGATAAAATGGACAATGAGCGTAGAAACAAGGAGGTGGTCATGATGTTATGCCTGATTGGTATATGCACATTGTTTGTAACTGGCCCACATCTTTTCTGTCAAGCAGTCGAACGTGTTATGGTGGTGATCTCTGTTACAACAAATGATCTTTAGTGTTCTCAATTCAACATTTAAGAAAGGACACTTAAGTAACATTGCAATAAATAACAGCCTACATGTATCCAAATCCTGAAAAACAGCCCCAGCCAATTATCCCTCCTCCACCAAACTTTACTTTTGGCACTATGTATACTAGATAGTAGTGTTTTTCTGGCATCCGTCAAACCTAGATTCATCCATCAGACTAACACATAGTGAACTGTGATTCCTTACTCCAGAGAACATGTTTCGACTGCTCCAGTGTTCCAGCGGTGGTGTGCTTTACACCACTCCAGCCGACACTTGGCATTGGACATGGTGATCTTAGGCTTGCAGGGTAGAAATTTCACAAACTTGTAGCAAAGGTGGCATTTTATGACAGTGGCTTTGAATAACTTCACACAGTAATACAGAATTCAGTTGATGTGTGCTGTCAAATATGTATATCACTGCTGTTGGAAGAAAACCTCGTATCTCCAAAACTGTAACTTTACAGGAGAAGGAAAAAACATACTTTACTTTTAATGTAAATCAGTGGAACCAGAATTTGTTCCAAGTCATTTTGGGCCTTTTCTTTCAGTCCATTCATCATAAAATTTACATGTGGTGTAAAGGGAAACAGGCATTTTCAAATTATATCAAAAACTGGAAAACAACAAAAATGAAGATACAAGGTTTTCTTCCGACAACAGCGATATATTGAGTATTTTACAGATTCTTTGGTTCTATGGCTTTATGGATTTTCAAAAAAAAAATTCATTGAAATCTAATCTCTCATTTCTTTCTCTTCAGTTCAAGTCCAAAAACACCTACTTGGAGAAGATAGATGGTTTCCGTGGTTTCTACAGACAGTGGCTGGAGTTCATGCCAGGCGAGGAGACTCCACACCCGTGGGACAAATATCGCCTCCCCGAACAAGACGGAGTCAGCTCGCAAAACCAGTCCACGAACTCCAACCAATCCTCTGAAACCACTCAAAGAACTGTCCAGCCAAGCCATTAAATCAGCAAATTAAGTCAGTGTTATGGATTTTGTGTTCTTCTGCCTGATGATCAAGGACCACTGACTTAGTGGTCTACCTGCCACACTTGCCTGAACCAAATTCTTGGTAAATAATCATGCTGGAGAGTTCTGTTAGAGCAGGCAGAGCTCTAAGCTGCACACTGCCCTCCAGGATGGGGAGGGCGATGTGCCAATATTTTATTGATACGCCAAATATCAAGATACATGGAGACATTTTCACAATATCACAATGTCTTAACGCAAAGATGGATTAAAGAAAGAAGTATGTGATTATTGTTAATAAGTTTTCTGAATGTATTATGGAATCAGATGATATATACATTTTTATTAAAACAGTTATTGACCCCATGTGTCCTGAGTTCAGCCTCTCGATGCTAAAAGAATGTCCTACAAACCTGCTGTAGCGTTTTGATTGGACTGGGTTGTTTCTCTTGAAATAAGACCACAGAGATCCTTACCCAGGATGAACTATAAGCCGCCAGAAAACATGTTTTCGGAAAGGAAACTACCTTTTTCTTTTTCATGGACTTCTTTCATACACTGCAGCCATCAGGTTCTGAATGTCACGGGTAAAGCGCACAAAATAGAACCAAAATACTAAAAACAAACCACTATTTTGTTATTATATTGCAAATATATTGTTCATTATCTGTCAAATATATTGCCAAAATGTGACTAAAACCAAAAAGCAGTATTGTGGTGCACTGATATAGACGATACATCATCGCGCACTTTCCGGCGTATGATAAGAAAAATACCCACAGAACTTGCTCTGATTGGTCTGAAGTCCAAAGTGATGCAGTCTTGTGTAGTTATGTTTTAGATGCATCTGATCAGGAATGGTGTGCTTGAATACAGCTTTTTGATCAGACATACGGTTTTCATACACTAACATATTAGCAAGTGCCTAGCAACACCCTAGCAACCACCTGAGATAACAAAGCAGCCACCTAGCAACACCCTAGCAACCCCCGAGATGCCGTAGCAAGCACTTAACAACACCCTAGCAACCACCTGAGATGCCATAGGAAGTGCCTAGTAAAAACCCAGCAACCACCTGAGATACCATATCAAGCACCTAGCAAAACCCTAGCAATCACTTGAGATGCCATACCAAGCGCCTAGCAACCACCTGAGATGCCAAAAGCAAGCGTCTAGCAACACCTTAGCAACCACCTGAGATGCCAAAAGCAAGCGCCTAGCAACACCTTAGCAACCATGTGAGATGCCGTAGCAAGCGCCTAGCAACACCTTAGCAACCACCTGAGATGCTGTAAGTGCTTAGCAACACCCTAACAACCACCTGCGATGCCATAGTAAGTGCCTATTAACACCCTAGCAAACATCTGAGATGCCATAGCAAGTGCCTACAACACCCTAGCAACCATCTGAGATGTCATAGCAAGCACCTAGCAACACCCTAGCAACCACCTGAGATGGTGTAGAAAGTGCTTAGCAACACCCTAGCAACTACCTGAGATACCAAAACAAGTGCCTAGCAACACCCTAGCAACCACCTGAGATGCCATAGTAAGTGCTTAGCAACACCCCAGCAACCACCTGAGATGCTGTAGAGATGCTCCAGCAGGTGTCATAGCAAGCACCTAGCAACACCCTAGCAACCACCTGAGATGCTGTAGAAAGTGCTTAGCAACACCCTAGCAACTACCTGAGATACCAAAACAAGCGCCTAGCAACACCCTAGCAACCACCCGAGATGCCATAGTAAGTGCTTAGCAACACCCCAGCAACTACCTGAGATGCCGTAGCAAGTGCTTAGCAACACCCTAACATCTACCTGAGATGCCAGAACAAGCGCCTAGCAACACCCTAGCAATCACCTGAGATGCCGCAGCAGGTGTCTAGCAACACCCTAGCAACCACTTGAGATGCCATAACAAGCGCCTAGCAACACCTTAGCAACCACCTGAGATATTAGTGTTTGTGTTCTGGTAGAAATCAGTCAGTGTGACCCAAACACTGATTTAAATATGATTTTAACCATATATTGAAAAGTCTCGATATTGTCACCGAGAAATTGGCTAAAGAAATGTAAACTTTCAGATATTAATGAGCATTTATGAGTTAAAAAAATGATGTACTGATTTGATCTCAAGCTGTGAAGCGCACACTGGAAACTGCTGCACATGTTGACCAAAGTCCTCCATGATTAGCCATCGCTAAGCTCCTCAAACAGGGGCTGACCACACTGCCTTGGAGAGGCCGTGGAGAGCTCACATTTTTCCTGCGGTACACACTTTTAAAAAGATGGTTCTTCAAGGGTTCTTTAGTAAGGCAGTGGTTCTATATGGCGTGGTCTCTTAAATGGTTCTTTGCCTGATGAAATGGTTCTTCAGATCGATGGAGAACGTGTTGTCCATGGTTCTGTATATATTATACCTCTAGGTCAGATTTTAACAGAGGAAAGGAAGTTACCATTCAACAGTGATAGGTAATCTCATTAGGCTGCACTAAAACATGCAGTAACAAACAAAGATGAATACATTTTAAATAACTGGAAAAATAAAGTGTCGACAGTTAAGTGTTCAAGATTTTACATGATATTTAATTTTAAACAATGTTTAACACATTCATATAAATGTTTTTAAGTTCAGAAAGTATTTAGCCATGATGATGAGGTTGTTGAGCATGAAGTGGGAATCACGTTCTTCTCCAGTTACTCCAGATTTAATGCTGACAAATTAACCATGTCAAAAAAAAGGTAATTTTTGATTTTAAGTTTCTTTTTTATTTTAGCATTGTCTGTATTTATTTATTTATTTATTGGTTAAAGTTAGGTTTTAATTGTTAAAAAAATGAAAATAAAAATAAAGCTGAATTATTTTTTTTAGCTTTTTATTAATATCAGTGTATTTTTAAATAGAAAATAATTAAACTAATAATGTAATCATAATTATAATTACAGTAGTTTTACCTACTTTTACAGATTTAAATCTAATAATATAAATATTTTTAAACATTTTTAATTTATATAAAACATGTTTTAATGTTTTTTTAAACTAATAATAAACAGGTAAATTACTATGGTAACGTTACTTTAACCACTTCACCTTTTTCTTAATTTTTCTTTTACATTTTAAACACTTTTTTTGTATTTTTACCGTGGTACTTTCCTTATGTTATTTATAATTTTAAACACGATACTTTATCTTTATCTTTTTTTAGTTTTAAAAAAGTTTTGTATTAAATTTTGTATTTAAAGAAAGAAAGCACAGTTACCATGGTAATTACGCTAACATTGGCCCTCGCGTTTACGCCACTTTCCTTATTTGCCTAGAACGTAGGGCGATTACCATGGCAACTGCGCTTCGTGTTACGCCATTTCCGTTATCGTCCGGATCTCCGTCCTCCTCGCCGTGGAAGCGCCGAAGTTTGAAGCCGCTCCGAGTTGAACTCGCTGGACTTTCAGCGGTTTACGATGCCTTAATGACAACTTCCACACCTTTCCGCTGTCGGTCCGGACTCCAGATACGTCTGCATGAAGACACGGCGTGTTTTTGACGGTGTCTGCAGTGGAGTCGTGGTTCGTGTGGATTTATTCGAAGGCCAAAACCACTAAAGTAGCATCCAGCTAACCGACAGACCTCACCGAGCGAGCGGCTGTGCGCGGCGTCGCGCTCTGCCCGTCGCTTTTTGGGCTCTTCCGCAGCGAAACACAGCCGCGCTGCCTTTCCTCGAGTTTACTTCACCTGGAGCCATGGAGCAAAATATAACCGTCATCGTTCTGAGCGACGACGACGACGACGACGACTGCACGACGAGCCTCGACGACTCCTCCGTCCTAATTGTGGACGACAGTGATAAGGACAGAGGTGGGAAACCGCTTAGACATTAAAAGCGTTTGCCAAGTTTTCTTGTTCACTTGCTGTGGGTTGACTGGTAGCTCAGTCTGTTTTCCCACGAGACTGAAGTTGGCTTTCCCTAATTCAACTCCTCCGTTCCACCTTAAATGGTGCAACAGCTCCATACGCGCTGTACAGGCGCCAGAGTGTAACTGCTGCGGGACTAAGTCCACTTAAGGTGGAGCGGAAAACTCGTTTGAAGCTTCGTAGGTTAGTCCTCCCCGCACCCCAGATGTAGTTTGTGGTGTGTAGTGTTTGTTTTGCTTCCGTGCTACGAGGCTAAAGAAGCGAAGAACTAGCGGAAGTCTACGTTAACTTGCTAACGCTAACGTCTTTTGTAGGTGACACGGGCTCGATCTCAAATGGCTCCCTACTCCCTACGTAGGGCACTGCGCAGGTCTTAGAATAACGGCTCCTGCACGCAAAGTGATATGTCTGACTAAGAGCCATTTGGGATTCAGCCACCTGTGCACAAGTCCTTGGACATACAGTGAACTGTTTGGGTGTAGAAACCGAAATGTCACGACTCACATTGTGCCCTATATAGGGTGTAGGGAGCTATTTGAGATTCAGCCATAGACTAATGTAATATTTGTCTGGTAGTTTCAGTGCAGAACTAAACTTTGGATATGGATGACCACACGCTTTGTAGTTCTACAGTTACAGACTGTAGTCCATTTGTTTCTCTGCATACTTTGTTAGCCCCCTTTTACCCTGTTCTACAGTGGTCAGGACCCCCATGGACCCTCACAGAGCAGGTACTGTTTGGGTGGTGGATCATTTTCAGCACTGAAAGTAACGCTGACGTGGTGGTGGTGTGTTGGTGTGTGTTGTGCTGGTCTGAGTGGATCAGACACAGCAGTGCTGCTGGAGTTTTAAACGCCTCAGTGTCACTGCTGGAATGAGAATAGTCCACCAACCAAAAATATCCAGCCAACAGCGTCCTGTGGGCAGCGTCCTGTGGGCAGAGTCCTGTGACCACTGATGAAGGACTAGAGGATGACCAACACAAACTGTGCAGCAGCAGATGAGCTATCGTCTCTGACTTTACATCTACAAGGTGGACTGACAAGGTAGGAGTGTCTAATAGAGTGGACAGTGAGTGGACACAGTGTTTAAAAACTCCAGCAGCACTGCTGTGTCTGATCCACTCAGACCAGCACAACACACACTAACACACCACCACCACATCAGTGTTACTGCAGTGCTGAGAATGATCCACCACCCAAATAGTACCTGCTCTGTGAGGGTCCATGGGGGTCCTGACCACTGAAGAACAGGGTAAAAGGGGGCTAACAAAGTATGCAGAGAAACAGATGGACTACAGTCTGTAACTGTAGAACTACAGAGTGCACCTATATAGTAAGTGGAGCTGATAAAATGGACGTTGAATGTAGAAACAAGGAGGTGGTCATGATGTTATGCCTGATCGGTGTGTGTAGATATATGCATGCTGTCTCTTGTGAACTCCAGCAGTGGCAGAGGTCCCGAAAAGCAGTGAAATTCTGGACGAAGACTTAACCATAACCTACTCACAGAAAGCTCATGTCCTGCCTCATGCCCGTTATGACTGCACCATCCCTTTCTGGTAAGTCTGACTGGCTTGTTTTTATCATTTTTTTATTAAAGAGATGTGCTCAGAGATCTTATTTGCCTGTTTTCCAGCTGCACAGAAGGTGTCGTCTCGGGGCCGGAGAACAATAACGCGGCGTACTGCGAGCAGTGCTTCTGCTACGTGTGTGACAAACCGGCCTCCACGGTGAGTCGCTGATATGATGGTGGTATTTTTCATGCGTTGATGCTGATGCCAGTTCACACAGAAGCTGGAAAGCCACGAGGAATAGCAGTGTGGAGAATTAAATGAACCTCTTAAACTCCTTGGAACCACCGGTGGTTCCAAAACGCACTTCGTCATATTCTTCATAACTTTCATATTTCATAAGCTACATTCAGAAGGTGGGTGTCGTATGAGAGCTGTAACTGTCTTCTTTCCAGTCAAATAGGTGGGTGTTGTAATTTTAAACCCTTATAATAAAAGAAGCTGAACTCACAATTTTTTTTTCTACTGAAAGTCGACCCATTTTTCCACAAATCTGGGCTATAAACTATAAACAGATGGCGTCTCTTCAGTGATCTGCTCTGTAAAAATTCTTTTTATAGAATAATACAAAGAGCGTCTAAGATTTTTGGCTTTCAGCAGTAAATTGTAAGCATATAGTAATGTGTGTGATCATAAAACACGTTCTGTTAATTTGAAGGGAACTTTTACAAAAAAAAACAAAAAATTGCATTTGTTTCATGCAGTTTCTGAATAATTTGCCTGATGATTTGGACGTGTAAATTCAGATGGAAAAACCAAAATACACCCACGAGCATAAGAATTACAGGACCAGTATTCTACTCCTGTCTTGTATTTTAGGTCCGCTTTTAATATTTGCATGGTTTTATGTAGGAAAAATGGTCATAATTAATTTTTTTCATGATTGTGAAGAGCTAAACTGATGTAGGCTGGTGGTTCTTGTGACATCACAGAAACAGTGGCCTGTTTTTACAGCACATTAGCAGTGGGCCTTAGTAAATACGCTTCATCCGGTAAACCAGTTGAAATTCTTCTTAGGGTCTAAGTTTTGTAGTTTACAGCGAGCCACAAATAAATGCACAGAACTCGGCGTACATACAGTACAAAACAATTCACTGTCCTCCAGTGCAGCGATCAGTCAGAGGTAAGGTAGTGCGGTTTGTTGTCAGACGAGCAGATATCAGATTGTAGTGAGTTAAAGGGAAAAAGAGAGAGGAAGGAAAAGCTGGGCTCTTGCTTCATAAGGTGCTGTGGTTGAGAGGCTCTGTAGATTCTCAGCTCATACTGATGAACGCGGACACTCGTAACGTAAAGTCGTAACGTATCGCAAAGTTCGAATGTAAGAGACGCACGGATGAGACAAATGAGGTGAGAAAATGGGATGTAAAACAACATTTAAACACCATTTTGTGTGATTACATGCACTCGCCTTTATCTCATTGGGGCCATATTGACGTATGTTTATGTATTGTTCTTTCTGGTTTTTGAAATATGGTTCTTATTGAAAATGAAGGGACCTGCAAGAACAATAGCCCATTGTTAATCCACAAAAATAGGTGTTCTACAGCATTCAAAAATGGGTTTACTTACTCTCTCTCTCTATATATATATATATATATATATATATATATCACACACACACACACAAAATTAAGCCTTGCGTCTCCATTTTTGTTGTTTCTCAGTTTTTGTCATTATTTGAAAGTACCTGTTGTTCTTCACATTGTCTGTCAATTTCATGATATTTGGACCAACAGAAATGACCCAGAATTACTTGGAAAAAAGTCTGGTTCCATTGACTTGCATTAAAAAATAGAGTATGTTTTTTCATCGACAGCAGCTCTATATGTATATCGCTGTTGTTGGAAGAAAACCTCGTATCTCCAAAATGATAACTTTATAGGAGAAGGAAAAAACATACTTTACTTTTAATGTAAGTCAGTGGAGCCAGAATTCTTTCCAAGTCGTTTTGGGTCGTTTCTCTTGGTCCATTCATCATAACATTTACATACAATGTAAAGGACAACAGGCATTTTCAAATTATGCCAAAAACTGAAAAATGGAGGTACCAGGTTTTGTTCCGACAACAGCGATACATTTTATATACCGTGATATATACTGGAGCTGTCAGAAGTCTTTCATTGTACTTTGATATGAATTTTTGGCCATAATGCCCACTAACTCTATGAAATGGGCCCCTTAAATAGAATGTCTCCATTTTGGTCTTGCATGGCATCTAAACCTGTGGTGCTATCATCTGCATTCATACATGATTTATTTATACAGTAATGGTGTGTAAATTCTTATGAATTAGTCCTTTAAAATGCTACATCAGGCTTCCCATTTGTCTGTTTTCCACAGTGTGCATTCTGGACCATTCCTGGCTTTTGTCACTGTAACGCCCACAAGCGCAGTGTTTACTGGAAATCTCTCAGAGACAAAAACGTCATGGGGTACCTCGGCGAGCTCAACTTCCCCTTCAACCCTGAGGACATGGATTCAGACCTCAGACGCGCCGGTATGTGTGATTGAGTCCTGGTGAACTTCACAAACGTGCATGAAATCCACACTTAAAGTGAGAGAGTCTCTGTCTGTGTTGCTTGGCCGAGGTAGAGGTTTCTCTGCAGGAGTTTGCGCGCAGCTTGGCCTTGAAGTACGCAGCTTACCTGGCTGGGTTTCAGAACCCAAACTGGCCGACCTGCTCTCACTCAGCCGATAGAAGGAAAATGAACTGCGAGGGATGCAACACTCAACACTCAAAACCTCTTGAATATAGGTACGTTTGGTGGTACACACAGGTTATCGAAACAAAACCTCTCCATTTTTGCCTTTTCATATATATATATATATATATATATATATATAAGCAGTAGAACACGGGAGGGAGCGTGGTATCGCGCAGTAACATCACGGCTGTGATGTGGTCGTGATAACACACAACCTCGAGTGTTCTGTTGCTTTTATACAACAGTTAAATAAATAAAGTAAGAAGTAAATAAACTGGGCCGTGAAAGCAGCGTTTAATATGTTTTAATGTTCGCAGTTCCTTCCGTCAAATTATAGTTCCTTTTATAAGCAGCTTGTTGCTACGTCAGAGTAACAAACTCCACTCACTCACTGCTCAGACTGCTGTAAGCCTCGCCTTTTGAAGTACAGACAGAGCCGTAAAACTGCTGCAATATCAAGTTCAGCTCAGTTTTCTCAGTTTCAGCCAGATCAATATTAATGCTGTTTTGTTCCAGCCAGTCTGTAAAGCATCTTAGAGCCCATTTTGTTTGGCGAAAGGTGTTCGGTTCATTTCTGGCTGATTCCAGGTTGTTTAGCTGTTCTTCTGTCACAGCTGCCGACTGAAAAGCTGCTCAGTGGTGAAGACAGTTTGGGAATTCAGTGTCGTCTCATCTTCAGAGTCTGACCAAATCGGCTGTCGGTCAAATGTGACCTTAAAAGTGTCCATTTTCTGTTTGTGGCAAAGTAAGAAGTCAAAACGTTCAAATGGCTTGAGCGTCTCCTACAGCTGTCAAAGTCGTTGCTTAGCAACAGCGTCTCAGCGGAGTGATACAGTGTTTGTGAAAACCCGTGATGTTATGGTGAAATAACAGCACAGGTTGAACGCCTCTCAACCAATCAGCTTGAGTGGCCGGAACTAACTGTTGTAACACACACACACATATATATATATATATATATATATATATATATATATATATATATATATATATATATATATATATATATATATATATATAAAATTTTTTAGATGAAACGTATATGAATGGATTTGTACAACTGAGTTGTTGCAAACAGCTTATTTTGAGGCCCCTTTCTCGTGAGCCGTAATGAGCGCTTTGTGTTCTGTATCTGCAGCTACGTTGGAGTGATGGAGCATGTGTGCACATTTCTGGATGAGGCAATGAAGCAGATGCCAAAGACCTGCACCGTCATGCTGCTTGGAGCTGTTAAGCTTTTCATCACGCACTCTTCACCTGGGTACAACCACACACGCACCTTCACTCGCTCTTTCACTGTAACTAATAGACTTGAGAATAATGTTCTCTGTGTGTTTTTGTGAGGGTCATGATTGTCAGTTCTTCTGTTTTGTTTTGTGTTTTTTTTTTTCCCCCAGAAATTCACGCTTAGCTGGCATTGTGTCGGATATCGTGCTGAGACTTCTGTGGAGGTAACAGTTGATCCTGTCGTAGTTTATACTTGACCGTGTGAGGACAAAACAGGCTCAGCATAGAGGTGGACAATATGGCGATGTTTCATCATTAGCATTTATACTTTTCCGAGTATATTGTGAATATCGTCAGTACAAGAGCACCGACTGCATGTTTCATTACAAAGTGAGCGTAATCAGGCCTTTTTAAATGGATTTAATGTATCGAAGTTTATACAACATTGTCTAAAGTAATTGTAGTCTTTTCATTATTATTATTATTATTATTATTATTATTATTGTTTTTTAATGGAACTACTGGTTTTGTTTTGTCTGTTCCAACTTATTAAATCTCAGAAAAACTAAATATTGTTATGCATATTGTATGTCGTGAAAGCCTTGAAGTATCATGATTGACACAATATTTTTGCTGTATCGCCCAACATTAGCTCAGCTTATTCAAAGTTAATACACTGCTGGCCTTTAAAACTGCATCATATGTTTCTGAAACTTGCAGAATAGGCGGGTCATGAGCTCAAGCATAGCACATATGCAAATTATGGGTGCGAGTTGCACCCGTAGACCTATAAAAGGCATCTGCTATAAGAGCAGGTTCAAAGCAACCTCGGTAAGTCTTTGCTCGTAGTCACTGTTCTCTTAGGGACCAAACATGCCTCATCAAAGATGACGACAGCCATACGTCCAGCTTTCTGACTTTGTTCAGGGAAGAATTATAGGAATGCGAGTAGCTGTAGGAATGCGAGTATGGTGTCTGTGGCTAGAGGAGGGTCTGAACCACCCTGATGCACAGAAGAACGGGAGGACAGACAGAACTTCGGCATATGTAGCTGTGAGGCATGGCATTCCACAGACAAGCATCCAGCATCTCTTTCTCTCCATCTCAGACCGTGTACACTGTTAGAAATAAAGGTTAATAAATAAAGGTTCTGTGCAGGTACATTTACACAAGGAGTACAAGGTCCAGTTGTGAACCTTAAATAAGTTTTTCCAGGTGAAAAGTTCGTATTTGTACCTTTTTTTTATAACCTCATGTCAGCCTGAAGGTGCTGAGATGTACTCTTGAGGGTCCCACCCCAGTGACAAGAGCAGCACTGCCCCAGTGACAGTTTCATATCTTTTTAGAGTGTAGAAGCAGTTTCAGATTTAATAGCCAGTAGTGCAGGTTTTAATTTTTAAGTTTTACACTGTTAGTTAGTTTTTATCGTTTGATCTTTCTTGTTCATAAAGCGTTTGTGTTTCAGAGTAACGTCGAAGGTGCAGACTTTATTTGTGGACACTGATTTCCCTGCCGCCTTCACAAAGCAACTGCTGCAGTTTTTCCTGGCCCTTCCGCTCCCGCCTGATTGCAGATGGCTTAGAAACAGGTAAAACTGGCACACACTTACTTGTATTGCTACAGTTACAGGGCTACAGCACACAAAATATCAAATAGTCAGCAGGAGGACCGGCGGAATGATTAAATTGTTGTTTGCTGTCAGTGGCTGGTAGCTTAGTGGTAGGTGAGGCAGCAACCAGAAGGTCATGGGTTCAAGTCCCAGGACTGACTGTGTGTATCTTTAAGTGCCCTTGGGTAAGGCACACGGCTGCCCACTGCCCCAGGCAGCGCTATCGTTTAATGATAAATGGACGAACAGATATGGCTCAAAATGACTTGAAATGAAGTCTTTCTATGTTGAACTCCTCTTAAAGTTAAGAACTTTTTTTCCATTTTGGAGATACAAGGGTTTTTGTCCAACAGTGTCGATATGTTAGTATTTGTTCCTCTATTTAGTTTCCTTCTTTTTTTTTTTAATCCACAAAAATTGGATGTGTTTGGATTAACATAGATAAATGTATCATTTATTGGTTAAGGCTTTCAAAAGCAGTAAAATGAGTAATACGGTTGTAGCCTAAAATACAGTTAACCAGCAAAAGTCTTTAGATAAAATAGTTTCTGGTAAAATCTGAAAAAGTTTCATAATAAATAAATTATAACTGGTTCAGTTGAACATATGTAATTTCATCCACATCACTACACCGCAAAGCTAACAGAGCAGAAATCACACGAGGGAGCGCTTTAAGTGATCAGATGATAAGAAAAGGAGACAGGAGGTTGGTTTACCATTCAGGTAAATTATGGTGTATAGTGATCCAGTCCACCCTGCCGCCGACTCTGTGTCTCATAACTGCTTCAGGTGGGAATATTAGCCCTTTTCCTCCCTTTCTTTTCTAATTAAATGTTCTGCAGCTTAAAACTTTAAAACAGCTCAAACCGCAGATTTGTTTATTGGAACAAAATCACAATCACAGCTTTATACAGTGTCTGTTCAGTTATTACAAGTTATTAAAACAAGTAATCGATTACTATTTGGAAATATCAGTAATTATTAGAAGCCTGTAAACTGCTGTTTAGGTGATCCCTAATCAGCAGTGTCACTGTAGGGGAAATTATCTGCCTTTCTCATGCTTTTTTTGTTTTGATCTGTTGTCTGTATATAAATATTTATTAGTCTGTAGTATGTAATGTAAAACTGGGACTTTTATTAGGACACTACTCTACTGAGGCTCATTACTTAGAAACGTCCACACGAAATGAGCCTCGGTAGAGAACTGACCTAATAAGAGTCTCAGATTTTCACTGTACACTATAGCCTAATGAATTATATACAGACAACAGATACTGTTTTCTGAAATTATACTGTGTTTGAAAGTTCTTGAAAGAACAGTGGATTTTTGATGAAGCATGAAAGGCACCCATTTAACTCAGCCACAGAGTCTTAGGTAGAAAGATGGTACATGAAATTACCTTTGATTGATTGATTAAATTGGCACTATTTGATGACTCTGGGGTCAAAAACGGTCTTTAAATTAGTCACACTAATAATTTGGGGGGGCGAGGTGGGGGTCTAATTTACACAACTTTTCTGTTATTCCAAAGTCGATAAGCCAAGTTTAACATTTATGTTAATCAGCCAAGACGTGTTTAGTGTCTAAAGCTTCTGTAGTTTTGCACTGTGGAGCTATGAGGCTAATGTTGCTAACAGGTAATACATGTTTATATCCTGCACAGCATCACACAGTTACCACATACTGTTATCTGTAAAAAAGGTACAAAAGTACAGACAAAATTCAGGCTTAACGATGGCTGTTGTATTTTTTTTAAGCTATGCTGTGTACATCTGTCCATTTTTGTATCTAATACCGTCACACTCCAAGTCTACCTGAGTTTACTTTAATCCACACAGTTCGGTTTCTCTAATGAATGTGCTTTGTTGTGATTGGTTGCAGCCTGAACGTGCTCCCGTGGGACGACCCTTTGCTCTCGGCCGTGTTAAAGGGTCAGAATGTGACGGGAGAGAGGCACGTCAGAGGCAGACGGTCAGAGGCTCTGTTTGAAACCATTGTAGTGATTCAAGCCAGAGTCTGCAAACTCCAGCAAGAAAACAGGTAACTTAATTCTGCATGTTGGTACTTTTGATGTATTTGTTTCTCACCGTCTCATAGCCATCAATAGATGGACAGAGGAACCAAAACACTTTATTCCTTTTTAAGACATTTTATGACTCAAAACACAAGATTAAATACTCATATTTTCTCTCCACATTCTGTTTTCAGCCTTGTGCAAAAATCAGAAACCACCATTCATTTATTTAATTTCCAGCCAAAATGACCATTAAGTACAAGTTATTCAGTTGTCAAGTTATATTTATGAGGAGATTGTAAAACGATGATCCACTCGCTTAAAGAAGGAGAAAGTGAAAGTAAAAGTAAGTGAAAAACAACAGTTTCCAAGACAGGAGTTGTAGAACAAAACTATTAAAGGATAAAGAGGAAATGAGACTAACAGACCTGGTAGACACCAGAACTGCCCCCATCAGATAAACGGATCTGAAAACTGAATCTGAAAACATCCACAGATGTTTCTGTCCATCCTTCCACTGTGAGAAGACGACCAGACGCCCTCACTGAGGAAAGGAAATAGACCAAAAACAAGAACATTTGCAAATTGAACAAAGTAGCTGCTGATAGTCTCAGAACAATGGACTGACCACCGCAGAGTCCAGACCTCAATATCACAATGTGTTTTGAATTACTTGGATTATGAAGCCAAAGATGCTAAACCAACTTCTAAGACTGAACTTTATATGAAAAAATTCCTGTGGATTTCTTTAAAAAAAAAAAAAGAAATCTCCTAAAAACGGGACATTAAATAAACGAAGGGTGGTTTGCACTGTATTATACTGTTTATGGGGGGAAAAAATGAATTGTGAAACTCTGGGTCTCGTCTTTTGTTATTGGAATAGCTGAGATTGTAATGCAGTTGAATGTTTGTTCTCCTGTCTAGGTACCGTGAGCTGGCGCGCTACCTCAAAGTGGTTAAAAGTGACAGTATTCCAGTGTAAGTCTCTTTTATCTCAGATTAAGATGCTCTGGTCAGTGTGTTTTCTTTAATCTTTAACATTTTCCAATTATGTTTCTTTGTGATAAAGGCTGCAGATCATGAAAGACTGGATTCCCCTGTATCTGTGTAAGGTAGGACCTTTTCATGATGCCTTATTTCACGTCCTGAGTCCATCATCTTAGTGGTGACTTATCAACAGTATTTATACACTGATCAGGCATAACATTATGACCACCTCCTTGTTTCTACGCTCATTGTCCATTTTATCAGCTCCACTTACTATATAGGTGCACTTTGTAGTTCTACAGTTACAGACTGTAGTCCATCTGTTTCTCTGCATACTTTGTTAGCCCCCTTTTACCCTGTTCTTCAGTGGTCAGGACCCCCATGGACCCTCACAGAGCAGGTACTTTTTGTGTGGTGGATCATTTTCAGCACTGCAGTAACACTGACGTGGTGGTGGTGTGTTAGTGTGTGTTGTGCTGGTCTGAGTGGATCAGACACAGCAGTGCTGCTGGAGTTCTTAAACACTCCACTCACTGTCCACTCTATTACCTTGTTGGTCCACCTTGTACATGTAAAGTCAGAGACAGCAGCTCATGTGTGTCAGCATAGTCTGTGTTGGTCATCCTCTAGTCCTTCATCAGTGGTCACAGAACGATGCCCACAGGACGCTGCTGGCTGGATATTTTTGGTTGGTGGACTATTCTCAGTCCAACAGCGACACTGAGGTGTTTAAAAACTCCAGCAGCACTGCTGTGTCTGATCCACTCAGACCAGCACAACACACACTAACACACCACCACCACGTCAGTGTTACTGCAGTGCTGAAAATGATCCACCACACAAAAAGTACCTGCTCTGTGAGGGTCCATGGGGGTCCTGACCACTGTAGAACAGGGTAAAAGGGGGCTAACAAAGTATGCAGAGAAACAGATGGACTACAGTCTGTAACTGTAGAACTACAAAGTGCACCTATATAGTAAGTGGAGCTGATAAAATGGACAATGAGTGTAGAAACAGTCTGTGTGTAATATGTATGACCAACCTGATGTTGTGTAAATCCTCTCTCTCTCTCTCTCTCTCTCTCTCTGTCTCTCTCTCTGTCTCTCTCTCTGTCTCTGTGTCTAGATTGGTGATTACAGCGGTGCGGTCGATGCCTTGTTAATCTCCTCGTGCGGCTCCTCGTGCGCTGCCTCCAGGCTCAGTCTTCCCCAGTTTTGTGCTTACCTCAGAATACTGACGTCAGGCCACGCACCATCAGACATCCCACGACCCCCACAGCTCGACTTTGTTCCACGCTCAGGAGTGATTCTCAAGAGCCAACCAGACCCCTTACAAAGCTCTGATTGGATGCCTATTGAAGGTAACAGAAGATTATGTGAGGAATTCACAGTCCTGGTCTAGAGGATCCCTCAATCCCTGCCCTGTATTGGTATCAGGCTTGGGAATAACTAGCAAACACAACAAGTGGTTCTCAAACTTTTACAGTTCTGTAGCACTTCAGACATCAGACGTCCTGCTGTGTACCCCCTCTTAGTCCTTATTTACTCATACACACTCAGACACACCAGAAGTACAGTTGGATAACAGATATTAAACTGTCGCTGGGGTGGTCAAGGGTTCATCCCCAGGACCTTTAGTTAAGGAGCATAAAAGTAATTCAATTGCAGTTACGTATATATTTTTAAAGATTCCATATTCTCATTCACTTTTTTGTTTGTCTATTACTAAGTACTAATGTCCCTTTAAAACTCATCAGGCTTGGGTATCACTAACAAACACAACTTTTTACAGTGGTATCCTCAGACATTAAACTAAAACCAGTCCATCTTATGTAGATATAATTTGACTAGCTTTTTTTTTCAATACAGCTCCTGAAATTGGCCCAGTTTCTTGGCTTCATCAAAACACAGCCAGGCTGTTTTGTGCCTGTAAAGGTTGCTAATGTTTCATTTCGAGTCTAACTAAGTTGAGTGGAGAGCTGTAGCACCAACAAAACGTGTTTAGAGCTCAGAGCATGTTCTGTGTTTTCAGGAGGACACAGTTCGCTAAAAAGGGTGGAGGTGCTGAAGTTTGCACTGCGAGTTCTGCACTGTAACAGTGCAGCCTTTGCACATGTGAGTATGAATGAAGACGTGAACGTTTGCAGACAAGCATGTTAGCAGAATTTAAGACTTCGAAAGGGTAAACTTGCACTGCTTTGAGCAATATTTTAATTAAATCTACTTAGCAAACTACAGGGAGATTCACTCGAAAGAGGCCCCAAATATTCTGTTGTAACTCCCAGTTAGGATGAAGCAACCTGGACCAAAAAAAATGTGCTACGTAACAGTGGTGGACAGTAACGAAGTAAATGTAATTCATTATTGTCCTTAAGTACTTTTTTGTGTATCTGTACTTTACTGAAGTATTTCCATTTTAAGCGACTTTTTACTTTCACTCCACATTTCAAAGTCAAATATCTTACTTTTTACTACTTTCTGAGAAATCTGTTGTTCCTTTTGGTTTATGTGTCTAAAAAAACGTACGTCAGAACAAAAGAGTGAAGCAAACACACCAATCAGGGCACAGCGCGCATTTTGTTTTGAGCTTGTTTTGAGCTTGTTGGACATACCGACCCAGTGCAGCACACGGTTCAACGACAGTGTAACAGCATAAAACTTTGGGAGAGTCTGTTCAACATAACTGATGAACTAACCTAACTTTGTGTAAATAGACCACAGTATAGAAATATGTACACATATGCAGTTGTGACTGACGTGTCTTTTTTCTGAATTTATACAAACACATTTCATTTTATAGTAAACTTGTTTTGGCTAGTTTATGTTTATGAACAGAGACCTACACATGCAGTTTAGTAAAGGAAACTCATTTGTGAACCTGAGACTAAAGCACGTTTTATTAAACTTAAACTTGTAACTAAGTTGCAAATAAATCTTAAACTGAAACTTTGCTTGTTAACTAAAAGTGATTTCATGGCCACTCAGTTCTACCTAATGGAAACTGTTTGCCTTCAGTGTTTTGTGCTTATGATCATTTTAATAGACATCAGCGTCACTAATTAATGACATTCTATTTAAAGACTGGTTTACCAAGAGTGACACTGGAGTATTTTCACCTAAAATGAGTTAAATACTAATAATACTAAATACTAAATAAATACTAATGATTTTCTTGTATAACTATGTTTTATCACCTGTCTGTAAAGCACTTTGAGCTGCCATCAGCATGAAAAGTGCTATATAAATAAATATTATTATTATTATTATTATTATTATTATTAATGAAGCAAGAGTCTTGTTACAAAACGTAATTAATATTTTAGTACTTTTTGATACTTAAGTACATTTGAAGGCAAATACTTTTGTACTTTTACTCAAGTGGAGGTCTAAAGGGAGGAACTTCTACTTTTACTGGAGTCATATTTTACCTTGGGTGTCTCTACTTTAACTCAGGTACATGGTTTGTGTACTTCGTCCACCACTGGTCTACATACCTTGACTTATGTGTAATTGATTACATGCGATGCTGGAAGTGATCTCTGTTTTCTGCCAGGCACATGAAGGGGTACGGGGGTCTGCCCCCGGAAGTTGCAAACGGAGGTTAAACATCGCGATGGCTGTCCGGCGCCTACCTCATCGCTCTGACGCAGGGGCATCCCGGCTTGTTCGAAGCTCCATATACTGAGGAGCTCATTGCACGTTGTTGCGTTCAGATTGTTTTGACCTAGTGAGAGTTATTACAGAATATTCAGGGCCTCTTTCGAGTGAATCTCCCTGTATTTTCTAAACAGGTCTGTTTCGCGTGCTTTATGAAGAATGTCTGTCTGTCTGTATGTCTGTGCTTGTGTGTGTTGTAGCCTGAAAGCTGGGTGAAAGTATTGAACATTGCCAGCACGTCTTCGTCTAACTCAGATGGTGCCAAAGAGAGCACAGCGCTGGCAGAACCTGACCTCAACTTCTTAATAGTACGTGTTGGTTTGGAAATCTTAAAATATACAACATTTAAATTCATTGTGAAACAAATTCATTAATGTGCAGAGAGTTTGTAGAGTTTGTGTTCCTGATTATTTTTCTTTTTATTTATTTATTTGCTCCCCGACAGAGAACGAGGGACACTGTTGTGGGAATCCTCACTGAACTGGCACGCTCCTCACGCATTCAGATCCCTAAAAGCTTTCAAAAAGTGAGACTCCTTTTTTCTAGTTGTTATTTTGCAAATGAAGATTTAAGGCTCAACAGCTCTGTGTGTGGACAGTCCTGCTTTGTTGCTGTTTATGAAAATAGTTGTTTGTCCCTTTCGCCTTAGGAGTATCCTGACCAGGCCATGTTGCTGTTGACCACTCAGGCTTTGGCCGCCCGTATCCTCCACTCGCGGCTGTGCCCCATCCTGAGTGTCGTCATGACGTTCAAGGTACCGCCCTAGTGTTCGTGATTTACTTCTTATTTTGACTATGTTTTCTTACATTTTCAGGACAGAAATTCTCCTTTATGGGGAAAACAGTGCTGACTGCTGTTTCACTTCTTAAAACTGAAAGGACAAAACACTTAATATTTGCTCATTGAGGTTTAGTGGATCATAGTTACACTTAGATTATATATATATATATGTATGTATGTATATATGTATATATGTATGTACATTGTTATTGTTAAGTATCTGGCCCCCTTAAAAGTCATCAGATTCGTCTGGATTACAAATGGCACGCACAGATTTTCCAGTCGGTGGCGTTGAAGTAAATTTTCTGTGACATTTTATTTTGAATGGTCCTGTTTAGGTGAAATAATCACTCAACAGACTCTCAGTAACATTTCAAAAACATATGAGGGTTAGAATTAGGTTTTGGGTTGAGGTTAAGGTTGGGGTTAAGATTAGGGCCAAATTCTGGGGTCAAAATTCAGATTTCTTGGCAGATCTTTAAAAAGCATAAATAAAAACTGAAGAATGCTGCTTGCGTAAGTAGAATCACCTTTGGCTGTAGTGAGAGCTTTAATACCGCTTTCCCCACCTCCCTCATTTGGTGTGGACCTGTCAGACTTTTTCTTTTGTTCACTCTGTTTTGACAGGTCTGGCCGTTTTCAGGTCGCACTAAACAATTGAACCGTGGTCCTACAAACATTGTGGGTCCCTTCGCTTTCAGTTTGCTGCTGATGGGAAAACATCTTTGTGGCGGTCCACAAATTAAGCATCAGCGCAGGCTTTTCTGCTTCTTCTAGCAGCACGTCAGGGCTATCTGCATAACCTGCATAGTAACGTCTGACTCTCTACAGACGCTCATATCATTCTTGCAGTACAAGCAGCTGCTAATAACAGCAGACGAGCAATAAAATAATAGTGAAATGGTGCATTTAATTTTGGCAGAACATTCAGCATCCACAACCTGATGGGTACATTTAAATTGACAAACCAATCGTGAAGAAGCAGATATCAAGTAATGTTTATTATTATTGCTTTTGACTGTAAAACTGATGTTAAGCGTCTCTATTTGAATGCCAAGTTGGAGTAACAAAGCACTTGAATGCCTGTAGAACTTCTGATCAATAAACAGGCGCTTACGTGTATAATTTAGGGCACTTTAGCTGCCGCAGTGTGAAACCAACCGAACCAAATGATAAAGATATCACAAAAGCCCAAACTCTGGTTCAAACTCAAAAAAGCAAAGCAAACTAGTGTCGTCTGCTGTTCCAAGTTGAGAATTAACTGGGATGGAGATCTAGTGATTTTTCTGGTCAGTCAAAGAGTTGCAGCGTTCCATCATGTCTGTTGGACCAGTCACACATGGACACCCTACAGTGGTCATCCTGGAATGTGGGAGTGTCAGTGGTGTGTTGTGCTTCGCTAAGTTAGTGGAAGAGTGGACTTGAATACTTAAGTATTTCCACTACCAAGTGAACCGTGCCTGAGTACTTGTGCAGAATTTGGGTATTGTTAGAGTGCCAAGTGTGCCGTGATGGAACATCGGGTGGGGATAGAAATAGTGCTAACCTCTGATTGGTCAAACACAATCGGTGTCACTGCCTAAGCTGTCCAGGATCGCTGTCTGTGACGCTCACCTCTCATAAAAGCAGAATAGAAGGTATATTAGAACTTGAAGCTCTGCTGTTGTTGCTACTCTTTGTGTTTACTGTTAACACGAGACTCACGTGAGAAGTCATGTGACCACACAAACTAAAACGAACTCCGCCTACTTTCGCGGTTCTCTTACTTGAAGGGAAATGGACACAGGTTTGGACCAGGGTTCTAAAGTCTTCTGGTGGTAGGATGTGATTGTTTTATCTCAGTGAAGCTTGTGCATGTCCTCATGTGACGTTGTGTAAAGGGCTCTCTGTCTGTGTGGTCAGTTGAACCCCTGGGCGGTGCGCTGGCTCTTCCACAGTCTGACCGTGCGGCCGAACGTGCTGCAGGATCTGCTCTGTGTGGTTGTGGAGGAGCTGTTAAAGGAACCAGACCAGCCCTTCTTGTCGTAAGTATACACACCCACACACTGTACTGATACATTCTTAATAATGGTCTCCAGTATGTATTATTAATACTTTTCCATATTTATGCTCTCCAGAAAAGAGGACACATTGGGGCATTCCTTCATTGCGAGTTTCCTGTGCCTGTTCTTCCTGGAGCACAGTGTAGTTCTGGATCCCAACAGCTATCCCACCAGTGCGCTGCTCATTAGGTGGAACGAGTGAGTGACTGAACACTTTTATCCGACATCATAAAAGATAAGGATACATGTTTAGCACTTTGAACTTGTTAATGGTAAGATCTGACACAGTTCACTAATAAGGGAACTAGAATAACAAATACAGTAACTAACTTTTAACAGTGAAAATTAACTGCACACTTTTGCACTGTTATGGTTTAGGAGTTAACTTACTCTTATAGAGCAGTGGTTCTTAATCCAGGCACCAGCGGGCCACTGTCCTGTATAGTTTTACTCTTACGCTTCCAGTTAAATGTTTGTTTTGAAAAATTTATACTACGTTTCTAGTAGCTTGTAGAGAGTACAGAGTTACAAGTAGGAATGCACAATATCAGAATCATTATATTGGCAGATAATTACTTAAAAAAAAAGAAAAAAGTTTAGATTCGACTGATACTTTAAACCACTCAGAGTTTAAAGGGGTTGATTTATTTATTTATTTATTTTTTTTTGTACTCCAGCAGAGCAGAATATTTAGGTGACGCAAAAATGTTTGTCATTTTACTGCATTTGTAACCTTACAGACATTAATGTTTTATTTCTTCGTAATGCTAGTACAGATAAATGCTGTTATAATTTCTACACTTTATAAATGTTCATGTCTCAGCATCTGATGTATCAATGAATAATATATAAGAAATCGGCACTGGCCCCCATATCGGATCAGTTACTTGTCTGCTTTACCACCATTTATCTACATATTTCTTGTTACAAACAAACTAGTACAAAGTTTTACAAATATAAGGAACAGAAGTTAAGAAAATGACTGCTAAAAAGGAAATAGGAGGCTCTGGTCTAAATATGGCCTAAAATCGATCTTTTAAAGCATATAATTGGTCAAATACCCCTGAAAAAGTATCATGGCCTCACTTAGCATGATAACACATCATATCTTCCACACTTGCTTCAACACGAAACTCCTGGTTGCCGTCACTGCAGTAGTTCTTTCAGTGAAGTCTTGTATTGTGTCTGCTTTCAGTTTTTAAACTGTTTGTTTTTTTTTCCTTTAGTTTGTTCATCAGTGTGTAATGGTGCCAGCATTAAATGTGTGTATAGATGTTACGCTGCCTGTCCATTGCTGAATGCGTTACACTGCGAGTGTGTATTAACCTTTTTTCTTTCTTCACTGTAGATCGAAGTACCCCTGGCAGCACTACCTGAGACGACAGCTGGAGTTCAATGTGAGCAACTTTAGACCCTTCACGTTATCATATCCAGTCCAAGTGGAAGTAAAGGCACTTGCACACTGCACCCAGTTCCTCAAAGGGGCATTTTGGCCTAAAAGTAGAATTCAGTGTTATTTGTGGAGCTGTGCAGTATTCTTAAGTGCAGCGCTGTCTGTTCCTCAGCCTCATTGGTTTTGGTTCATTTGGAAGAAAAATAAACATACCAGTTGTCGTCATGGAGATTTTGTAAGTTTAAAAGGGAATCGCTCTAAATTTAGCAAAAAATTCTACATAATTGTCGAGATGTGAACAAAGTCAGTCAGAGTGGTTTCATATAATATTTTGTTTTAGGAAAATGTGTACGAGTCAAAATTGTTCACAGTGCTGAGGCTACATCATATAAATGTATTACATGTAATCATTATGACTAAACTGATGTCTGAGACACTTTTATGACAGTTTTGAGAAGCTTTTATGTTTTCATTCATGGTGCAGAGATACATGAAGGGTGTTGTGAGGCAAAATATTTTTTTTCTCAGATTTACCATCAACATTATACATAAAACACATGGATAGTAAATAAAATGGCTATATTTGTGCTGTAGACATTGCACCCTCTGGTTCCCATCACTGTAAAGAAATCTGAGAGTAAGTTTCTCTATATTGAAACATTCTCAGTGACTGTTTACATCTCAACCACTGAATTATGCAGAAAGCTTTTAAATCGGTGGACTTCCCCTTTAATTAATCAGTAGTGTTTAACAAACCCTGAGTAATGCTTGCACAAATACTTAATACAACCTTAATACAATCACTGGGCGGTCAACCAATGTTGACCACTAGCCTGGACACTTAGCTATAGGCTAATAAATACAACCAACCTAGCATTAGTAGCCAGATAGCCACCGGGCTGACTGCAGCTTTTACCTTTGCCCTCTTCATCTGACAAGTAGTTTGTCATTTGAGTAATTCATTCTCCATTATGATGAAGATTTGAAGACTATTACTGTGGTTACATGAGTACAATATGATATTGTTTCCTAGCAGTAACGTTAGATCTGCATACACCAGCTAAAAAAGGCATTTCAAACAGACCGTCCCTAAAAATCCACCCTAAAGCAGCAGTAGTTTATGAGAGGGGGGGGTTCTAGTCTGAAAAGGGGGAAATCTGTCTAGACGACTGCGGCACCACTGTAGCAGCCAAGTATGCATGTTTTCAACAGACATAAGGATTAAAGATTTAATTTTGGCCAGAGTGTCCCTTTAAAAATGACAGGGAAAAAATGAACCATTTTTTTTAAATAATCATTTGACTCTCGAGACTGAAGCTTATTTCAGATGTGAAGTGGTATCATTTCCATGGACAATATGAATCCATATAAAGTCTCATTTATTTATATTCCTTGTGTTTTCTATAGGAGGCCATTCTGACACAAGACAAACACAGAGTCCTGCAGATGATTCGATGGAGTCTACACCAGCAGTAACCACTGTGTGTGTGTGTGTGTGTGGCTGGCTGTGTGTGTGGCTGGCTGTGTGTGTGGCTGGCTGTGTGTGTGGCTGGCTGTGTGTGTGGCTGGGCTGTGTGTGTGGCGGGCTGTGTGGGTGAGTGGAAGAGAACGAGGAAAGTGTTCTCTAAAACTTCCTTAAGCTCATTTTCCAATTTTTGAAGGAATATTCAAGAACCAAGGGCAACGTGTCAATCGAAAGATGTCAAATGCAGTAACTGAGACTCGGTTCCTTTTGTCAACCTTAATTTTGTAAAGTTTGGTGTGTGTTCTTTTTTCCTGTTTTTTTTGGATATATATATTTTTCTTGAAAGGTGGCATTTTGGAACATTTTTGTATTGAAATTTCTTTAAGAGATGAGAATAAATAGGCACTGTTCCTGCTTTTTCTTTTTTATGTTTGACTTTTTTTTACTTTCCCCTTTCTTATGCAAGTGGATTACACTGATCAGGCATAACATTATGACCACCTCCTTGTTTCTACACTCATTGTCCATTTTATCAGCTCCACTTACTATATAGGTGCACTTTGTAGTTCTACAGTTACAGACTGTAGTCCATCTGTTTCTCTGATACTTTGTTAGCCCCCTTTTACCCTGTTCTTCAGTGGTCAGGACCCCCATGGACCCTCACAGAGCAGGTACTATTTGGGTGGAGGATCATTCTCAGCACTGCAGTAACACTGACGTGGTGGTGGTGTGTTAGTGTGTGTTGTGCTGGTATGAGTGGATCAGACACAGCAGTGCTGCTGGAGTTTTTAAACACTGTGTCCACTCACTGTCCACTCTATTAGACACTCCTACCTTGTCAGTCCACCTTGTAGATGTAAAGTCAGAGACGATAGCTCATCTGCTGCTGCACAGTTTGTGTTGGTCATCCTCTAGTCCTTCATCAGTGGTCACAGGACGCTGCCCACAGGACGCTGTTGGCTGGATGTTTTTGGTTGGTGGACTATTCTCAGTCCAGCAGTGACACTGAGGGGTTTAAAAACTCCAGCAGCACTGCTGTGTCTGATCCACTCAGACCAGCACAACACACACTAACACACCACCACCACGTCAGTGTTACTGCAGTGCTGAGAATGATCCGCCACCCAAATAGTACCTGTTCTGTGAGGGTCCATGGGGGTCCTGACCACTGAAGAACAGGGTAAAAGGGGGCTAACAAAGTATACAGAGAAACAGAGGGACTACAGTCTGTAACTGTAGAACTACAAAGTGCTCCTATATAGTAAGTGGAGCTGATAAGATGGACAATGAGCATAGAAACAAGGAGGTGGTCTTTATGTTATGCCTGATCGGTGTATCTTATATCTAATCATGAAATAACTGAGGTGAGGCCTCTGAGTTTTGCACAGTGCTTATTATTTAGACTCAGACACACTTAAGCCAATTTTCTATGCATTAAACTAAAACACATCTGAGCCAAAGGAATATAAGGAATATTACTACAATCCTGAATCCAAAAAGTGAGCTGATCAATTAACACCGCTCCCCTGCTGAAATGTTTGGAACGAGAAATACAGCATTTTCCTTTTTCCAGATATTTTTAAGCACTCTTTATTGAATATATTATCTGATATTTAAAAAAAATACATTTCAGTTACGACAATACATTTCAAAACAGCTATTTCTCACGTTTGTATTCACACACAGAGCTGGACGGTGCCATGACCCTCTCAGAAAGACCTCAACTAGATTAATACACCAGTATTTACCAGTGTTTTTCTTCAAGTACAGCACTAGCAAAGCTAGCAACACTCCAAGGCACTTTAAGCTGCTTTCTCAGTCATACTCACTTTTATTGTATACACTTTAGAAGGACCACTAAAATATGAAGCAGCACGTGGAAGGCAGGGCCTCAACAAGGGCTCTTGATATAAGGACAGCTTTGGTAACTCTGTTACGTATGTATACACTCTTCTTAATGTGTAAAATGAAAAAGCTGGAAAAAAATTACGTTTCAAAATAGGAGAATGCAGCCTTGTGCATGTGTTGGGTTATTGTAAACACTATTGCCAAAAAAAACTCTTATGGCTCAATAAATGCATCACTATAACAGACACTGCATTGTTGAGGATGAGATCTGGAAAAAAAATTAACATATCAGTCGTAGTCATGGAGGTTTTACAAGTTTTAAAGGGAATCGCTCTGATTTCGCAAACATTTCTGCATAATTAAATTGCCGAGATGTAAACAAAGTCAGTCAGAGTGGTTTCATGTAATACTCTCTTCCAGAAAAATGGACAGGAGTCAGAATTGATTACAGTGCTGAAGCTACATTGTAGAAATATATTATGAAATGGTTGAGACACTGTTTTGAGAAGCTTTTATGATGATACCCACATAAAACCTTGTTTTTTTTTTTATTTCCAGATTTACCATCAACATTATACATAAGACACGTGTAGGTTTGGGTAGTAAATAAAATGGCTATATTTGTGCTGTAGACATCGCAACCTCTGGTTCCCATCACTGTAAAGAACTCTGAGTCTGTACGTGTCTCTACAGTGAACCACTCTCAGTGACTGTTTACATCTCAACCACTGAATTATGCAGAAATTTTAAAAATGGGTGGATTTCCCCTTTAATTAATCAGTAGTGTTTAACAAACCCTGAGTAATGCCATTGTTCTGATTAAGCAGCTAATTATGCCAGTGGCTTATCATCCATGCTGTGCACTGTATGACCAAATGCTGATAATCCACATTATTATGGACGTAATATCCAATTATTTCCTTATGAATATAAAGCATTATGTGGAGCATTTTAAGCACACTTGCACGTTTACCGACTTGGTCTACTCAAAAGTAAACCAAATGTCCTGCCAGTATGGGTTTTTCTTCCCCACGGGCCTGGACTCACTAAGCCAGTTTTGCTCCTGCATGCTCCACCAGGAGCACATGTGCATCTAAATAAAATAATCAGAAGGAAATGTAGATTTTGGGATTAATCACATTATTGCTTTTGGCTTTGCACAGTGAGTCCTGCTCAGCTTTGAACTGGCTGCATTGTTTTTACATAGAGGCAAAATTCTTGTCCCACTGGTTTGTTTTTTAATGACAGTTGGAACAGCAATGTCAGTATCACATTTTCATGTCTGATTTGGGCTGCTTTCACATGTGATGCTTAAGTCTGATGCATATCTGATCAGTGGCATTGCAACCTCTTAACAGCCTGATTGGAATTCATGCGACTTTCCCATTTTGTCATAACTCGGCAAAGGGAGGAATTAGGGAAAGATGAAGAGCAGCTGTGAGTGTGTTGCCTCTGTTGTGCTTGGACTGGAGTGTTGTACTTTGTGTTCAGTTCAGGAGAACGATATGAACAACCAAACAGCAGCGAATCGGAATTGCACTGTGGACGTACCCATAGTACTCGTTCACACGGCTGGATCAGAGTTTGAAAACTGTACTGGCGGTGTTGCTGAACCGGAGGATCCTCGGAGTGTTATCTGTGAGTTGCAGTGCGATGAGCTCCGAAAGGAAATTGAGTATCTTCATATCGTCGTCGTGGAGGTCACAGTAGCAGCGCTCTGCACTGACCTTCTCGCTCGGGCTGCTGGGATGGTGGAGGCTGTGACAGAAGGTGAGCAGGAATGCTCTGGAGACAAGCCTGCCGATTACACTTCGTGCGTACAGGTAGTAGGTGGTGCCGTGAACAATCTGGGTCCTTGGCTCAACAAGTGGACAAATCAAGGAACCTCTGTAGGCTGGGCACCGCAACGTCCTCTGGTCCACGTCGAGCACGCTGAGGTAACGACTATAGCGGACTAAGCAGGGAGGCATGCTGGGTGAAGTAGGAGACGCCATCCTGGAAAAGCAAGAGTTACATGATTGATAATGTTTCACTCATATTGATGCCGTTATGTTTGTGCTAAGATAAGAATTTCTAAGGTTTGTTGAAGTTGGACAATCCATGGTTAATACAGAATCAGTCCCCTCAGTTAATGAAGGGGAAAAAACATATCCAGATACTGTAAATTCAGTTACAGTATGGAAATATTTTGGAGCACTTATTGACACGTTTACCTGACTTGGAAGGTTCATCTCTAACACTATTTGCGGGATAATTTGCTGTCTAGCTGTGCCATCTAATTTGAGCCATCTAACAATTCAAACTGCATGAAGTTGTCCTACTCATCAGGTTGCTTGAATTAATCTTCTTCAGCCAGACCAATGTTTGTACTCTACATTGAAGATCTGGAAAACCAGCCCACACCTAGAAAATTTGATTTAGCTGTTGTACAGCTTTATTTAATTTGAGGTGACAATAAATGAGGCAGTGACATCAACACTAACACACGGCCAATGAGAATGAAACAGATTGCATAGATGCATTTTGTCCTTTCCTGTTACTCACAAAATGTCTTAGAGCGACTGCTTTATGCCTTACACTCATACCTGTTAAAGCCGATGAGTTTCCAGGTTAGCAGATCGGTGATTTGTAGAGGGTCTGATGTCCAGGGCTGGATGCTCTCTCTGTACTTGCCTACATGTGGAGTGTAGATAGTCAGCGCTGTGACCCAACGTCGAACCACAGTTTCCTCGCTGCCGAGCACCACCAGTGTCCGCCCGCTCAGCAGGCTGTACACTGCATGCACTGCAAAAGGAAACTGGCGCAAGAAACGCAATGCAGCCCGTCCTAACCTGGCACGCTTTCGTCGACTTCCGCCCACACTCTTCTCCCCGTGGAGATCAGGAGAGAGAGTGAATTCTGAGGCTGTGGAAGCGAGGCTGAGGTAACTGGTGCAATCTGACAAGTCATCTCGTAAAAGTTGTAAAGGCCCCTCTTGAAGAGACCCTGTATCAATCATAGGAAAAAGTGGGCCTGCCATGGTACGCGAGTCCAGATAGTTGACCTTATTTAGGGCAAAGTTTATGCAAAGATCAGGCGTGGTTAAAACGATAGTGGGGGTGTCAGGTGTACCAGGAGTTCTTGGGAAGTCTTTGCATTTCTCTTCGCCCTCGGCCGGAACTGCCTCCCCAGAGCTGCACCTACACCCCTCCACACCTTTGTTCTCCTGACCTGGAGTCCTGTCTTTCTCCTCTCCCTCACACTCTGGAGTTTCCTCATGGATAGCAGAGGGGTAGGAGGCCCGCAGATCATCCGGTATGATAGAGTCTGTAGTGCTGAGCACCTCAATGCTGTCCTCGCTGTTTGTCCGTTGAGTGGCCACCCTCCGTTTCCGACTTTCAAGGAAAGGTGCAGGAAATGAAAGGGGTCTCTGTGGCACTGTTTCCATAGAAATATGAGTTCCCTGAGTTCTGAAAGACTTCTCTGTGCCAAGAACCTCAATACTCTCCCCACTGCTTATGCTGTCCTTCATTTGTATGGGAACTCCCTCCTTGTCCTGACAGTCACATTCTGTTGGGGCATCTGTTGCCAAAGGCAAGTCATCACAACAAGGTGATGATGGCACAGAGTTGGGCTCAGCTAGAGACTGTCCATTCATGCTGACCTGAAGCTTGATTGGCACCATTTCCACACAGGAGGTGTACGACTCCAGGCTTACAGGCTCGCTCTGCAGCGGAGAAACAGGAAGGAGCAATGATGGCCGAACTTTGGGCTTGTGGAGCTGCTGCTCTGTCTCCACGATCAGGTCGCACGAATCTTCAAACAGGAAGTTTGTGGATTTGAGATGCTGGAGTAAGTTTTGAGTGAGCTGGCGTGTGAAGAGGTAGCTGCTGTCTCCACGGAAATTCTTCTCAATGGAGCGGAGCTGTTTCAGTGCCTGCTGGAGGAAGTATTCATCGCACAACTCCTCCAAATTCTTAAGACGCTTGTCAAATTGCCGACATGAGCTGGAGCTAACCAGCTGTGGAGGGCGTGAGGATGCATGTGTGAAAACGCTGCACTCAACTCCTGGCTCAGGGATTTGGGAATGCTGTGTGTAGGGGTCCGGATCTGGCTCCAAAGGGTGAGGGGCATCGTCTGGCTCATAGGGAAAAAACTCAGGATCCCTGAGCTTCCTGGTTGGGTAGGAGGTGACTTGTTTCAAAAGGCTTCTGTGTTCCTGAATGGCTTTCTCTACACTAGCCAACTCTGCGGCTTTATCAGGCCACCGTAATCTTGCACTCTGGCCTTCCTCTGTCTCCTTCAGCTGCTCAAACCCCTCCTTTCTCTTTGATACGTTGTTTCCTCCTCCCTCTGTTCCAGTGCTCAGCACAACCGAGCCAGATTTGTTCCCTTTATCAAGCCCTGACACGTCTTTACTTTTGCCTACTTCCTCAATTGAAAACTCACATCCGTCTTTCTCTTTCAATTTCTCTTCCTCTGTGGTCAGCGATAAGCTACTGTTCCCTTTTTTATCCTTATTTACTCTCTGCCATGCAGATCTGACATTTACTATCTCTTCCCCACCTCCGTTGATCTCACTGACGGGTACATCGCTTAGCCTCTCTCTCCTTATCTCTCTCAGCAGTACTAACCTGGTATACTCTAGGTCTCCCAGCTTTTTGTCCAGTTCGTTGGCAAAGTTCTTCCTGTTTCCGGTCTTCAAGCACTCTGACACCTTGGAGAACTCAGCAGACAGTTGAGGGAAGTGATGCATTATTTTTTCCTCTTGGGAGGACACGTAGGCCATGCAGAACGGCCGTACGAAACCACGAGCTTCCAGGTCATACAGTGTCAGGTGGTGCACATAAGCATAGGCTCCTTCCCTGGATTCCCCTAAAACCACTTTTGCGTCTTCTACAAAATTCAGCTTTGCATTGCTGGAACCTCCGGGGCCTGCAAAGGAGGTCTGATAGTCCACTGACATGATCCTGAGGGAGAAGTGGTTCAGATCAAAAGAGCCACAGGCCTTGGTTTCATCGGGGATCGTGAGTAAGGGCTGGGGGCCAACCTGCTCTGAAAACTCAGCTATCAGAATAAAATCTTTATTGAATTTAACTCTGGATGTCCTGGTCCATGGTGAAGAGTCGCTTGAGTGAGGACACAGCGGGATGGACAGTTCCTCTGGAAGCACAAGCGGGTCTGAAGGCGGTTCTCGGAAATCAGTCTCTGCGGTGAAAGCCAGCAAGTCCGGAGAGCCAATCATGGTGGCATCACAGTTTTACACATATATGGGTGTTTCTGCAACTACAGGCGCTTTTGGCTCCCCAGATTTGTAGAAAATGGATCACAACAATTAATTTTAAGTTTGAGTCTAATACAAATTATAAGCCATACAAAATGAGTATAATTAAAGTAAAAGACTAAATATCATCTGAACTGAATTAGTCTTTACAAAACACCAACTTCTTATGTGTCTGAAGCTGAAATTCTGAAGCTGTCAGTTGTGACATTTAAAAACAGTTGTGTGGAAAATACTGAATATGAAAATTTGCATTTCTGTGAAGCCAGATTAGATTTCCCACGCTCGTCAACGTGTTCTTTGGCTAACGCATGTTTCCATCTAACGTAGGTTTGAAAACGGCTTTATTTCAGGTCATTTGCTCCACGGTTAGGACACAAATATGAGGCATATTCATAGAAAACCAATGACATAAATGACCAATCAAGAAAAATATGCTTATTTTAATTATTTAACTTTTATCCAGTTTTATCCAGTATGGTTTCGATTGAAAATACCCTTTAAAAGGTCATTTTTATACATCATTAACTTCTTTTTATGCATTTGAAGGCTTGGAGGTGGTATTTTGACCCAAACTGTGCCTCATAACTAACACTTGCCTTGCTTTATGTTATATGACGCTGATAATACAGTATTTTTTGTGCCTCATGCTAAAAATGTGAGCATGTACACCAAAAACTATCGCCTGTGATCGCAGAAACACACATATGTCCGTTAAAAAGGGCACTCACACCAAGCTCCCAGAGTGGTCACCCTCAGGAGGTCCTCATACTGAAGTTCCTCAGTCTGCTGACCGGTGTTTGGCGGGCCAACTGCGTAGCCAGTGACTCAGCCAGTGTCCAGTGTCCTCGATGAAGTTTATCTGTGAAGAGAAACCCCAGCTTCACAGCCTGAGCGCTGCCCGTCCGCTCCTCGGACCTCCAGACACTTCAGACTGCCCACAGCCGTGTCGTCCCTCCGGCAGGAGGTCAGCAGGGCGGCGGAGTCGTCGGTGAAAAGGCGTGGTGACCTTTGCTCACTCTGACGAGGCTGAAGTTGGCTTCCTACTCGCCAGAGTCTTGGTGGAATTCTCCCGTTCCACCTTAAACGGTGCACCCTGAGGCGCCTGAATGTGACTGCTGCACCATTTAAGGTGGAACGGGAGGTAAACAGTAAGAGGAGCTGATTCTGCCATAGCCGCTCATGTGACTCGGCTGAGGGGTGGGGTAAAAATAACGCCCCCAACATTCACCCGACACTCACTTTCACCCCGAGTCTCGATCTGGAGACGCGTTTGGGGAGAAAAACTAAAGACTCTGGAAATGCCTTAAAAGTCGACGTGCACGCGCCTCACGGTCGAACTCTCTTTCATTCTCAAATTCCTGCTGCCGGTGCACGCGCGCGGGTTCTCGCAGGGGAAGTCCACCGAGTGTCCAAAATTGTGCGCTCATCGTTACAGGAACCAGGATGACCACTTTGTTTACTATCCAGAGCCACCAGTGAACCCACACGAGTCTTCTGAGCGTTTATATGTGATGTTGATGATGGGAAAATAGTCACAAATCTGAACCAGTAAGTTTTCTTTGGGGACTATTTTGCCTCTCAACCCATTGCATGTACCCCTCCGCCGTGAATGGACTTTAAATGCTGTAGACCAGTGTCTCAGACATCAGGCTGAGTGTTCATAACCATTTCATGTGATAAACTTACTGCGAAGGAACGTTTAGAGGTGGACGTCTGGTTCCTATCACCAACACTATTATCAATTCTGACTCGGTGGAATGACTCTACCCTGCTGAACTACCCAGCACAGACTGGTATATGCTGGTCACCGAGCACGGTCACTCTGGTTGACCAGCATACCAGTATCCAAAACACAACATGCACTGGTCAGTGCTGGTTTTTCTAGCAGATGTGGACAAAAGTGTACAAGTATACAGTGTTATTAAAGGCTAGAAGTGGGTAAAACAGCCTCAAACCCTGCTTGAATTAAGGCATCACTGCATTCACACAATCATTCACGTACTTAAGTGTGTCCAAAGTTCAGCATAGGAAGTGAAGTGTCCATTTTTCTCTTTCTGGATCCTTTTTTGGACTAAAATAAGGAGTTAACCAACATATTAAAGACAACAAAGGGGGCTGAACGCCTGCTCGCCTCCTGCAGCAGGAATCTCCATTTTAAAGGCTGGGAAAACCCCCTTCTGATGATGTATTGAAGGTGGGAGGAGCTACAAGGGCTTCCATAAACTAAATGGTTTCTAAATGCACCTACTAGGGTAGCCTGGTTGGCGCCTGCTAGACAGCTGATGCTGAAGGAGGCCAGATAATACTAGATAACCTTAGTGCTAGGAACCTTTTTGAGTGCTATAGAGAACCATTTTTGAAGAACCCTCTTTCAGTGTTGTATTAAATAAATCTCATCTTTCGTTAACCTTGATCAAAAACATCAAGTACAGATGTAACAAAGCTATTCAGAGTAAAATAGTGGTGAAATGCTTTATTGTAAAGAAATCTGGCAGTTCTGATTTTTTTCAGTGGTGCTGATGGGAACCAGGATGTCTACAACACAAATACATACAATATACTGTATTTACCATTTATTATCATAAACCTCCAGTGTCTTCAGTGTTTATGTGCTAATATTAGAGCTAATAATAGTGATAAATGTGAAAACATCGTTTGTTTTGGGCGGCCTGCGTGAACATACTTTGAAGATGCATTTTAAAAAACCTTCAGACGTCTGGTTCCCATCACCACCACTGTAACCAGTTCTGACTTGGTAAGTTTCAATTGAACTGAGCATTTCACACCAGACCACTCTGAATGACTGTTTACATCTTACATTGAATTACATACAAACTTTGCTAAACTAGTTCAACAGAATATCTGACCTTTGGTTAATGTTCATCAGTGACCTGTCGCTGAAACACAAGTGAATAGTACTGAGATGGCAGCCCAGCATGAGACACCACTTAATGCAGTCACGTCACCCCAGACAACAGTCATTTATTCAAATAAGCTCTTTATTTAGGCACCAATACACAAAGATGAGGTTTAATTATAAATATCTTTACACATCCTTGTCAAACTGTAGTACATTTCTGGCAGGCTGTGCCAAACCAGCCCAAACAACATTAACACACATCAGGTTTTCCAGGAGAGAAACACTCAGAACTGCCAAAAGAAAATTAATACGGAAAATAAAAGCTTCAGAAAACGAACCGCAGTCGTGCTTTATTGCTTTTCCAAAGGCAAACGCGCTTCCGAGCGGACAGAAACGGCACAGTTCTGGTCTGCGTCTCTGTGAAGATCCCTAACGTCTAACGCGCCAAGCCGAGCAAAAAGTGCTGCTGCATAACTAGAACTTAACTCTGTGGCTACAACCAGCCCAGCGTAGCTCATCCCGTCACCACAGGAGTGGGTAATTAAAGAGAAGGCGATGCTGTCGGCTGCCACTGATAGCTGAGGGTTAATATAGTGTCTGTACTCACTCTGACGGCTTCCATCTGCTTTGCACCACCTTGTGTAACAAGTATAAGGCAGTGCAGAATTCATACCGCCTCACTGAGTGTCTATCATTCATACTGCACATCACTGCATAGTTCAAATTACCATTATTAAGAACACAATGTGTCGGTTTCTGTGTGCGCCGCTCGCTTTACAGCACAAATGTTTACCAAATTGTACCAGGTTATGGAACGGGGTCTTCAATCTTGTCCTCGAAGTGCCAGTGTGGCTGCAGGCTTTAACTCTAATCGAGCAGGAAGACCCCCGAGTCCACTTCATCAGATGGTCTCAGACAGCTGAGCAGGTCTGTTTCCACCTGGTTGGAATGAAAACCTAAAGCCACACTGGCTCTGGACTGGACTGGACTGGAGAGCCCTGCTATGGAAGAATGTACTCAGACCAGGCTTGGTGTCTCAGTTTCAGTCCTGGAGACCCCCTGCTCTGTTTCTCCTGCTCCCAGCACACCTGATCCAACTAGTCAGCTCTTTATCAGGCCATTTCGGAGTTGAAGTGGATGCATGTGAGCAGGAAAAACATCAGAACGTGCAGAGCAATAAGGGAACTTCACAGGCTTAGCACTGTGTACAGTAATAGTATGTATCGCCGCTGTCGTAACAAAATCTCAAATCTCCAAAATATGAAAAGGGAATTCCTGCATTCTTTCATAATTTCATAATTCAATCGTTAAGGCCAAGTCATTCGGAGTGGTTTGACGTGAAATGCTTTGTTCTAGGAGTCAGAATTGTTCACAGTGGTGGTGATAGGAACCAGACGTCTGAGGAGTTTAATGCCTCCAAAAGCTCCTTCATAGAAAGTTATTACTAAATAGTGCAAATATGTTGGCTGAGACATTGTTTTATGTTTTATGATAGTTCTGAGAAGATTTTGCCATATCTTAAAAAATGAAGGCAAAAAAGTCCCCAAAGAAAACTTATAATTTTGTTTTATGACTATTTTACCATCACCATCATATAAAAACTGAGAAAACACAAGTTAACTGGTTGTTTTGGATGAGTAATAAAATGACTATATTTGTGTAAAATGACTGTTTGTGGACTATAATTCTGTCGGTAAGTTTCTAAAATGAACCATTTCACACCAAACCACTTCGGATCATTTCGGTTACATCTCAACAACTGAATTTTGCAGAAATCTGGAAAAATTGGTGGAACTCCTCATCAACTTTATAGGAGAATGATCGTATAAGTTAAATGTAAAAAGTAAGTTCGGACCACCTGTATTGCTCCATCTATCATCAAATGTCCATACAATGTGAAGGGCAGAAGGTGTTATTAAACGGTGGGGGGAGGCGGGGGAGGTGGGACAGCAACGATATGAATCCATATGTTGGCAGCTGTGTGCATTCCGAAGCCGAGATGATTCATATGAGCAGTATCTCCGGCTCGCTCACGGCGCAGTAGAGCATGAAGCCCATCTCGTCAATGTCGTCTTCGGTGAAGCCCTGCAGAAGATTGACAGCGGGCTTGAAATAACTGGGCAGGACTCCCATCTCCAAGTAGCCAATCATCTCCGTGATGGCCTGCTGGAACCTATCAGCAAAGGCAGATTCTGACCAATCAGATTCCTTCTCGCTCATGTGCAGGATAACGTTGCTGAGCTGGGCGCCCGTGAGCTTGTGGAGTGCGGGGCAGTTCCGGCACACAGCCTTCAACGTTTTGAGGCACTTCCTCCTGACCTCTGATGCGCCGCCAGACTGGTCGAGGCTGGCCAGTCGGGCGGTTTCGCTGGTGTACAGGCTCTGGTACCAGACGTAGTCGAAGGATCCGGTGATTTCCGGCTGGGCCGTCAGTGTCATTTCCCCCAGGCGCACTGTGGGCAGGACGCTGATGAAGAGCTGCTCCTCTTCATCGAGGTTTCTTTCGCTGAGGCCGCGGATCTCAAGCTTGAGCGCCGAAGACCCGAGCACCGGCCGCACCTCGCACTCCAGGGTCCCGCTCAGCGACGGCCAGTTCATGGACTCCATTATGGACTTGCCCAGTTGCTCGGCGACCAGCCGGGACGACAGGTAGCCGCCCAGGAGGTGGCGGTCCCAGTAGCTCCGCCCACGCGGGAAATACTCCAGGTTTTCGCGGCGCAACATGCAGTACTGAGGGTGGCCCAGAAAGGTGTCCTCTCCCGCTATAGGGGTCCACAGACTGGGCTCCAGCTATGAACACACAATACACAACAGGTCAGGGGGTCCGCAAAGTATGTTAACAGTGAGTGAGCACATCCTCAACCTGGTCCTTGTTCATATCGGTCAGCTATTTAAATCAACTGAGAGTGCCTTGAGTTACATTCTATTAGTTTTATCTTATTTTATATTATTTTAACTTTTGCTTTTTAATGTTTACAGTGATCTGAAGTCATTTACAAGTATTTTCAGACATTGATGACCTTACACTGCAAATAAGCCAACATCTTTGACAGTTTTTAATATAGTTACAGTGCAAAATAAAAGTTCTCCATTGTAGCCGAACTGATGGCTCGCAGCTTTTATTAAACACCATCATCTCAAATATCAGCTAAAGCTACTTAAACTAATAGATTAATTACAGCTTATTTAGCTGTTCATCTAGCTAAAGGCCTTAAGGAGTGACGCAATGTAGTCATGGCCAGTTAATTTGTGTTCCATTGTTTGTTTGTATTTGGGGAAAAATACATCAATATTTGTTGATTTTGAAAAACAAAATGAGTCATATGCCCAAGTCTGAAAAACCCCAAACAAAATACACTATATAACGTAAGATATGTGTCACAACTTTTGCACAGGCCACAATTGATATTTTTTCCCCCAAATATGTTAATTTCAACAAACAGTTACTAAAAAAATAAAATAGAAAAATAAACCAAAAAACATGTCATTGGACCAGGGGTGGCCAAGCTTTTGCAGACAACTGCATCACAGGTGCTTCAACGTCCATGTGAATGAACTTGCGGACCACTGGCACAGCTTATGCATCAAGTAGGAGACTTAACGTGTGACCGGGTGGCCCGGAGGTCTGTCTTAGCTCAGTTTAACCCTGGGTTTTCACGGCGGTGCATCTCTTTTTACTCTTCTCACTATGGCAGCATATACTGCACGCCTAACATGCTCCAGGGCCAGTTAAGTTGGGGATTTCAGACCATATAAAGCTTTTTGACCACTCAGGCACGAAGTTCTGACTGAGGGGAGAGGTCTTTATTTTCTTTGTGACCTTTTGTGGCCACAATTATGTGAAGAATATCGCTTTTGAGCAAAGAAAACAAAGTGTATTATTTAAGCAATAGAACACGAGAGGGAGTGTTATCGCGAAATAACATCACGACTGTGATTTGGTCGCCGTAGATCATCACAGCCGTGATGTTATAGCAATAACACACTCCCTCAAGTGTTCTATTGCTTTTATACAACAGTTAAATAAATAAAGTAATAAATTAATAAACTGGGCCGTGAACGCGGCGTTTAATATGTTTTAATGTTCGCAGTTCCTTAACAAGCAGCTCGTTGCTACGTCAGAGTAACGAGCTCCGCCCACTCGCTGCACAGCTGGCAGTTCGTTCTCCAGCTCCACACAGACCAACTGACAGTTAGGGTATTTAGTGTAGTCTCATCTTCAGAGTCTGACCAAATCAGCCGTCGGTCAAATGTGATCTTAAGTGTCCATTTTCTGTTTGTGGCAAAGTAAGAAGTAAAAACGTTTAAATGGCTTCAGCATCTCCTACAGCTGTAAAGACGTTGCTTAGCAACGACGCCTCAGCGGATTAATATAGTGTTTGTGTTGTTATGGCGAAATAACAGTGCAGTTAGAACGCTTCTCACCCAATCAGCTTGCGTGGCCGAACTAACTGTTGTATAAATATATATAAAGAATATAAAGGACTTATTACTCTGGTGAGCACCAACATGGCGGGACTGCACGTGCATGTGCACGAGGACTAAATCACAGTCTGAGTATCTAAACCTGGATTTACAAAGAAACTCCTTCGTTAATCGAGTTAACCGCATTTGCATTTGTTGGATTTTGTGAAACTTGCATGATGAAGGGACTCGAGACGTCCAGCTGTCTGTTAAAGTTAAAGCACATGGAGTACCTGTAGAGGCACAAGCAGGCAGGCGTGATCAGCTTTGACCACCTGCAAGTCATCGAGCAGCGACCCCCCCAAGGTCATCTCCCCGAGCGGCATGTCGGCGTGTTTGGAGCGCAAGAAGGCGTGGATCTCCGTGGCGATGTCCAGAGCCCGCTGCTTAGCCCTGGACACCTCGTCAGCGGGCAGACACACACGCGTGCGGTAATACTGCTGCAGACGCTCAGCGAACGTCAGCACGCACAGGTCCATCCGCTTACGGCGGGGATTCGCTTCGGCCTCGCTCTTCTGAGGCGGCGGAGGCTGAGACAGGTCTGCTACAGACAGACAGACAGACAGAGGGAGGAAGACAAGTGAGTCACACTGAGCCTTAAGAACCCATCTTAACTACATTGATGTTTGAGTTGTGGTGACAGTCATGCAGACACACTAAACCCTTTTTTACCGTCAGATTCACCCTCAGAACTCAATATGCTGAAATAAATCGCTGCTGTCAGAATAAAACCTTGTATCTCCATTTTTTGTCGTTTTCAGTTTTTGACATAATTTGAAAATGCCTGTTGTTCTTTACATGCGTATAAATTTCATGATGAATGGACCAAAAGAAACGGCTCAAAATTACTTGGAAAAAAGTCTGGTTCCGTTGACTTACATTAAAAGTAAGGTATGTTTTTTCCTTCTCCTGTAAAGTCACCATGTTGGAGATACGAGGTTTTGTTCCGTCAACAACAATATATTGACTATATATTGACAGATACTGACTTATTCTCCTTAAACACAGATGTAGCATCCTGTATCAATGACCTGCTACTGTGAAATAATTACTTTCTTTAAATTTAATAACTGATTATTTTTGGCAAACCATCAAAATACATCGACCAAATTGGGCTTACAGACGGGCTAAAATCGCTCAGTGTACGCCTGGATTAAGAGCTGGGATTCTTAGAAGACACAAAGGTCAGTCTGACCATATCAAATGCTTATAGGAAGTGTGGAGAACTTTATTCTGGGCAGGACGAGTCGCGCTCCTTTCTTTAATGAACTGAGGAACACGAGCTGAGAACGGCTACCACTCAAGGACGTCCAGCTCAAAATAAATGAGAATCTCCTCTCGCAGCAGCCCCACGTGCTCTGTACCTTTCTTGGTGGCTGCAGTGATCTGTTTCATCACCACTCCCTCGACGCCCTTTCGCAGCAGTTTGGGCGACGCAGTGACCAGACCGAGCTCCTCCCAGCTGTCCGTCATCTTCTTATCAGGCTTCTCATCGTCGGGAGGCCGGCCGGCGCGCTCTATCAACTGTCACATTCACAGCGTAGTGAAGAGGGAAAGAGTGAATGAATGAATGAATGAATGCATAATACATCTGTCTTTATACATATATGGGGGGGATGCAGTATAACGAAACATTTGGGCGACTTCTCTGGGGGGCATAAACATTAAGACAAGGATACGACAGAGCATGTACTGGTGGGATGACAGATAATACACACACACAAATACAAAAACAATAAATAAACAATAAATACTGAATAAATAGAGACAGAGACGTACTGGTGCATAAACAGTGTGCACAAAATATGTACGGCGTTCTCAGAGGTAAATCCAGATTACACTTAAATGTGTTCGGTAAACAATGTTATGACTGTTTGATTGTTCAGTCCAAGTATGTAAGACGTCAGTCAACAGTCAGTCAGTAAAAAAACACGTGCTCTTCAAGAATTCAGACGTTCCCTTAAAAAACTCATATTAAGTTAAAGAATTCATATTATACACTATAGTTATAGTAAACGAGCTGATGCCGAGTCAGCGGTCAAGTAAAAGCCTCACAGAGCAGAGAGAAGAGGAGGGGATGAGGCAAGAGGCCTAAAATAAAAAAGACAAAACAAAAATCAAACCACCTTGGGGGCCACAACATTTTATCCATTTTACCATCTTGGCTGTAAATATGTATCAGTACATGCTGATGTACTATATAGGCTAAAAATAATATAAACGGAAACACAGACTTACTTTGCTCTGCTTTAAGCTTTAGATCAGCTATAGCTGCTTTTCTCAGTCAGGAAACATTTCCTCCAAAGTGAAACAGTTTCGTTTAAAATGTCTTCAGCATTTGGATTTTTTTACGAGGCTGAAGTCGCTTCTCATTCGCCAGCTCCGTTTGAATTTTCCATTCCACCTTAAATGGCGCCTGGGACAATTTAAGGTGGAACAGGAAAATCTGAAAATGAAGCTGGCGAGAAACTGACTTCAGCCTCGTAAAAATACAACGTTGAGTTACAGTGAGGAAAAGCGAATATAGCTGAGCTAAAGCTAAAAGCAGAGCAAAGTAGGTCTGCGTTTTCATTTATATATTTTTTAGCCTATACAAGGACACTAGCACCTACTGAGACATATTTACAGCCATTATGGTAAAACAATACTTCAGTAACGGGACATTAAATGTTGCGGCTCGCAAGGTGGATTGATGTTTTGTCGAAAGGACAAAATGGCTCTTCTTAACATTTGGGTTGCCACTCCTGTCCTGAATAAATCCACAAAGGCAGATGTAACTAACTACTGGTCTAAATTAGAATGAAAGCCAAGTTAGTCCGTCCTGCCTGCTCAGCGTGTAGCGTTCATCGTGCTGCGTCAGGTTTTAGTTTGTATGCCTCCTCTTGCATACGTTGCCTTATTTTTGCTTTAATGTCATCATCAGTCTAAGCTGATTTTCTATAGCTTTCGCTGGGTGACAAGTCAGTGTTTTGTTTAATTTAATTTTTAAAATAATTTAATTTTTTTTTATTATTCGTGTATACCGGATTTAAAGACACATTGTACATGTGACGGGTTTTGTCAGTCTACAATTTGAGACGCCTCAGCTACCAACACATTTTAACGTATGGCAGCTAAAGACTGCTACTAGTCCCCACTGCAGGTCAGCATGGGGTCAATACCACCAAAACACCTCCATACACCAAATCATAAGCATCCACCATAACATCACAGCCAATAATCATTTTAATTGTATTGTTCTTTAGGCGTTAACTGGACACTCACCTTCTTCACGGCTAACGTAGCGATGCCCAGCACTGCAGCCCCGCCCACTCCGAGCACCAGCCGTGCGTTAGACAGGAGGAAGTCGATGATGGCAGTGATTCCATCTTCTCCCCGCCTTTTACTGGAATAATACATCCCTTAGCCTGCAACAGCACAAATCCACAAACAAGTCAGAAACACAGACCTTCTCAGCTCCAGTGGCACTAATACTGACGGACGCATCAAGTCGATATGCCGTTAGACTCATAGACGATGCCACTGCCCATCATCGATGGCCAACACATCACAGCGCTGAGCCGGTATCATACCTGCGTATGTAGTGTATGCAGTAATCATACACAGTTATAGAAAATATTACAATTTAAATCATGACTCATTACAAAGAGAGCATAATTAGACCTGTTTAACTGCATTTAACTGCATAAAACGCTGAATAAAAATGAATGTATTCCTTTTTTAGTGGTATTTACTTTATGTAGGTTATCAAGCCCCAGAAAAAGTAAATATCTTGAGGGGTATTGAGCATCATGACGTCATGGTCAACCTCTAAAGATGCACTTCAGCAGCAAAAACAGTAACAGGGTTGTGCCCAACGGGTTCTCCTCCTCTAGAACAGCAGGAGAGAATGCATTTGAGCCTGCATGAGCCTACGTTTGAGCCTGTGGAGCACAGAGTTAGAAACTGCTAACGGGACAGCAGGGAGCTAACAGAATGTAAAATAAAGCATGGGGTATTTTATTCATATCACGAAGTTCTGTTTATGCTGTAAAGCAGGTACTGTAGTAAAATCATGAAGATCTGCCAGTTCTGTCATTACATAACACATAACGAATAAACCGGTTCATGAGCAGCCTCACGTCATCTGATTAGCTGCTAGCATAATGCTAATTTCTGTGAGCATCCCTAGAGGAATTTGTAGAGTTGTTCATGCTGAGCTAGTGCTGCTGTATAATCACACTGTATGCAAATTCCAGTTTAAACACAGGCATGTGAAGCTCGTAACAGGCATTCAGGTAACGTTCTTTATCCCATATGTAGTGTTACTGTCACTCTTTCTGGAAAGACCAGGATTTGTCCGTTTCTCAAATGTTATTGAAGCAGCCTGTTAGCCTTTTAGCTGCATGCTGGCCTCACTAGGTGAGGGTGAGTACAGTTCATTGGTGGAGAATATGAAGTGTAAACCAGTTCAAAAGAGTCTGCAACAGCAAGCAATCTTTCCGCATTTTTTCTGCTGGAAGTAGTCGTTGCAGGGTGACGCTGTTTCCGCTAGAGCAATAACAATAACAACGATGACGAGTAGAGCGAGTACAGCTCACTCAAGTGTTCAAGTTTGAAGCAAAAACAGCCTCATCTCACATTCAGTGGTTTGTCAGCTGATGATGAGCAGAGGAAAAATGAGTTTGTACAATTAACAAAAGGAATAAACTTCGTCATATGGAGGAAAAGAACCTCGGTGTCTGCGCTTCACCGCTGCTGACTAACGTTAACATGCAGGTCGCGCTTTAAAGTCGCTACTGCAGCCGCTTTCAGAGGAACGGTTTTTATTTTCTCCCTCAAAAGCTGTCGGTATCAGAGAGCGAGTGCTCGGCTTAGGGTAGATGTTGGTTTAATTGGAGCTGGTGGTTGCGTAATAGTCCACATTGGCGCTTCGGACCCTGACGACCCGGCGCACACCCCCCTGCTGGCATGTACGCATATTTAGCTTTATTGTTAGCCAGCTGTTTCAACATCTCTAGATAACGTGGCTAATCCAGCGTTTTGGTTAAGGTTATTTTCACCATCCACTCTGTAGATGTTAGCTGTTATTGTCCTTTGATAGCTGTAAAAAGGGGTTTTTCCACGAAGCATCCTCGAATTTCAGTCGTGGCAAAGATACAGTGACACACCTTTCTGTGCTGAGCTGAAGTGATACGTACACCTTTATTTCTGAGGTTAGTAACTGTCCGTGAGGCCACAGCGGAACTTGTTTCTTGTGAAAAGAGCCTATTATGTTCACCTGGCAGTTGAGACAAGTATTTCAGCAACAACAGGCTTTTTCACCCCGTGATTTGGAGCGGCCTGGAGGAGAATTCTGGGCGGCATCCACTAAAGTCTGGGTGGAACAGAAGCACACAGCATAAGCTCAGTGTGTGGGGTAAAAAAAAGACGTGAAAATGGTAGATATTCAGATACGATTTCTCGTATCAAAACCGAACACACTGAATGCAACGTGATTTATCTGGAATTAGCCAAATTGTTTGTGTCGCAAAAAACGTGCAGAATATTTCTGGAAAAGTGAAAAGAGAATGGAGAATTTCTCCCCTCATTTAGGAGTAAAACTTTATGAGCTCTTTGAATCGCAGCTCAGAACTCCGACAACTCAGAGACGATTTTGGAGATGCAGCTCCACACGTAACAACCACCCCTCACTGAACGAGCAGACAGTCACACTGGGCCACTGTTCATTTGGTAAAAGTAGCGTGAAGAGCTCCACCGCCTCAGTCAGACGCTGAAGCTTTGACAGCTTTCAGTTAGAGCTGGTTTCGGAGATTCTGATCCTTTTAGCGTTTGTGAAAAAGCTCTATTTGCTGGAACACAGCTGCTCCGTCATCTTGAGTGTCGCCATGCCAACTCCAGAGACGACCGTGATTGGCCAGAGAGTTCATGTCCCCAGAAAAGTTTGCAAACATGAAACAGAGGCGAATAAAATAACATCACATTTCTGCTGTCTGAAAAATCAAGCAAGACATCGTCAATTAAGAACTTTTTAAAATTAATTTACTGTCATCCGAACAAATCGCGTGAATAAATTGCATTTGGTGTGTAAAAGAACCAGCCACTTAAAAGAAAATGCATTAACGCAATCTCGCTTGAATGTGGTTTAAAAACCAAATTGTGCTGTTGATGCAGGTTATTTTTGATCCTGTAAGTCACTTCAAGACTAGAGTGGCATGCATTCAAGGAACTGAAGCTAACAGCGACGGTCCTGCTTACTGGGGACTACTGGACATCACTGTGGAATCACAGCTACCTCAGGGTTACAGCCCACTGTACTGATGAACACTGGAAACTGCACTCCACATTCAACCATCCTGAAAACGAAGGAGAGACGTCATGGTGAGGCGTCCGCCAATCAGTTCATGGATGCAGCAAAGCAGTGGAACGTTGAAGATAAAGTAAACACTCAGCACAGATAAGAAACATAACTGCAGCAGCGAGACATTCGAACACCAGCCATTCACCACAGACAGCACTCAGCGTTCTGTCACAGTGTGCATTTGACGGTGCACCTTCCAAATGCTGGAAGGTGGTGGGGACACTTCAGGCACAGCCCACCAGCCTCTGCCAAAGCTTTCAGCTGAGAAAAGGCCAGTTATAACTGCCTCAGTTTAATCTTCACGTCAGTCTAACTGATGTTTAGTGTTGCTTTTTGCGTGTGAGTGAACACAAATCTGAAGTTCCCAATTTAAATGATTTTGAATTCTCTTCCAGATATTTTACTGAACTTCTTTGGCGGAAGGAGGTTTGTTTCATGTTCAGTGGTTCTGCCCACTTTATGCCACCTGTCTCAGGTGATGGAGAATTCAGAGGAGGACCCGGCCTACGTACTCAAGTTCAACCGACCTTCACCACGGACACGGAAAAACACGAACAAAACACAGGACACGGCTGAAGACTTCCAGAGCACTTGACCCTGGGTTTAAGGTGCTGAGGTGCCTCCACAGAGCTGAGACAGCTGAGGGAGGTGTGGGCACTGATCGCTGGCATTCCTAAGAAAGAGACGCTTGTACAGCAACCAAGTAAGAAGAAAGCAGCGCTCTTAGGCTACGTTCACATTACAAGCCTCGTTGCTCATATCCGATGTTTTGCTCAAATCCGATCTCTCTGACACGATGGTTCACACTCGTTTAGGTAAGTGATTCAAATCTGTCATTAATGTGACGAACCGGCGTCCTGAAATGACCCTCATGAGCTCATCCTACTCAGTAACGTCACTGAATGAATCACGTTCATCATCAGCACAAACTAACGAGCAGAACGAGCTTCACTGAGAAGATAATTAACTCTGATCAGCTCTCAGCTTCATTATTAGAGCGAGGCGAAGGAGAAAAAGGTGAGATGAGCTGCTTTTCCACCGTTTACAGGCTTTAACTTCTGTTCGGCGCTGCTGCCATGGTAACGCTGAATGATGGCGCACACGCAGTGGAAAAACACATGAATTCCGATCTGAGCGTCACATTAAGGTCGCATGGCCACGAATCGGATACGTATCTGATCTAGGACCACATATGAAAGTGGCTCAGATCAGATTTGCACATCCACGCATCCCTGAAAACATCAGATCTGAGTCACATTAGGGCAAAACATCAGATCTGTGCCTGGTGATGTAAACGTAGCCTTAGGCGCTTCAGAGTGTGAATCTGAGGAGGAGGGACTGTACTGAGAAATGTCTGGAGTGCTAGAAAGCAGAGCCTGTCATCATCATGGATGCAGTGGTAGCCCAAACACACTGGCTAGCCTGCCTCGCTCACTTGGCAACACCTGCCACATCAGCGCCTCGTGAGAGGCTGCTTTCCCTCCATTGTGCAGGAGAAGCGAACGGCCTCGTCATCTGGAAACGCGACCAGACAATTTTACACTGTTGTGTTTTATTCAAAGTAACCCAAAAGGCCAGCCTGCTGTCGAGAAATGAAATGGTCTATCTGGATTCATCACTGATTTTGAACTGTGGAGTAGGTTTTTTTACGGACTAAAGAAAAGTACAGCAACACGTGGACACTGTAGTATAAAACTTAAATTTCACAACCTAAACCCAATTTTGTGTTTTCCATGGTCCATATTGCACAGCCCTAGCATGAGTAAATAAAACACCCTCACCGTTTAAGTTTTCTTTTTAAATTTTAATTTCTCTCTTATTCCAGTTACACAGACTTGTTAGGTAAATCTGTATGAAGTATACTGTGTCCACTCTTCTTAGTATCACCTCCCTGCACTTAAAATTTTCACTGCAGTAAAAGTTCAACATAAAATGTGTGATTACAGAAAGTCATGCGATTAATCACGGTTACATTTTTTAAAATCTCCTGACAATCCCAGCTTAGACCTTTTTTAAAATCGATAAATTTCATCATATCATTGACACCGGAGTTCATCTTTAAACGTA